GCTACAAGGTAATTTCTCGGTAGTTTGGATTCCAACACTCTTGAAACCAATCTTTTGTCTTATCTTTGCTGCTCTTTTTACACTAATTTAGTTTACGGGCGAGAATGGGACTTTTGATGAAGTTGTCAGCACCTGCCAGGCTCTGAATGCGTCCCCATTGGTGATCCAAACAGCGAAAGAAAACCAGGCCATCAACAGTTTGTCGACAACACAATAAGGTTCACCGTATTTCAGAATTAAGATCCAAATACGCCGGGACCCTTGGCACATTCTTGAATGCGGAACGGGTAAGCATTCGGGGTTTATACACTTTCACCTTTCTGTGAAGTGGTTTCCTTTTTTGGTTATTGTTTACCTGGCCTTCGGGTTACCCTACATGTCCCACTCCACCACATGCTTTCCCACCTCCATCAATACCCCGGATAGCCGAAATCCCCTTCAAACACTACCTAAATACCTTCCCGATGGCTTCAGATACCTCCCCTAGCCGAAATCCCCTTCAAAAACTACCTAAATACCTTCCCGATGGCTTCAGATACCCCCGTGGCTGAAATCCCTTCAAAAACTACCTAAATACCTTCCCGATGGCTTCAGATACCTCCCCTAGCCGAAATCCCCTTCAAAAACTACCTAAATACCTTCCCGATGGCTTCAGATACCCCCCGTGGCTGAAATCCCCTTCAAAAACTACCTAAATACCTTCCCGATGGCTTCAGATACCTCCCCTAGCCGAAACCCTTTTAAAAAACGAAATTAACGACCGACCGGATGGAATGAGAGAAAAAAAAGAAATGAAATCCCCGTGAAAATTTTCATCCACGAAACGCGCGCCACCTGGCTCACTATGTCCAAAATCACCCAACCTCTGTCCCCCACCCCTTTTACTAAGGAAAAAACTTTCAAAGTTAATTTTAATAATTTAAATCAAAACTTTTTTATAATTTTTTTATCAGTTTGGGGGTTTCCGACCACGCTCTATCCGAATCCGAAGAGACCTAAGCTCCAGCTCCTTTCCCCTTCGAGTTGAATTCGGGACCTGACAGACAGAGACCACAACAAAATTATTATAGTTGATTAACGGGGGAGGCCACGGCCACCAGTGGGCTATCACCCCCGCTAATGAATCAGGGCTTTCATGTCAGCGAGGCGCTTATAATGCGAAATGGTTCAGACCGGTAGCGGCCAGCTTGATTTTGCATGGCTTGACGGATCGCCAATGGACTATTCCAACTATGACATGGCCAATATGGATAATGATAATGGAGACGAGAATTGCTTGGAGGTCATCACCTTAATCAAATTGAAGTAAATTTAAGATGATGTTTACTGGTCTCTGGAACGATGTGCCGTGCGACAATGTTGGAAATATTGCATGCCAAATGGATCCCGTATTTATGTGAAAGAGCAATGATGACTCAGGCTCCTCTAAATCATTGGCTGAGAGCATAAACAAAATTTGGGAGAACGTCACAAAACCGAGCCGAACAGCATTGAATAGAGTCACAATCTCTGGGATGCACAAACGGCAGTAGGTAGCCAAAATATCGCAAAGAAAAAGGTTTTTAATGACATACAACGTATCGCTGCTAGGCGACTGTTGGGCATTCGTTGTCTGACAATTTCGTTTTTAGCTGATTTGGAGGCTAAACCGGTTTTTCTACGCTTTTTGTGTTCGCTGGACTGTTGCTCTGAGGTGGACTTTTGGTGGACGGCCGCAATGGATTGGACCAACCACCTTGACAAACACCAGAAAACGCTCTTTCTGATGATATACTTCAAGTTTTGAGATCAGATTGTTTTAGTGCTTCAATCCACCAAAAATATGAAATCCTTTATTAAAATCGATCTTCAGAGAAAATTCCTAGGAGCGGCCAGCGTCAAACCGATCACGATGCATTATAGAACTGGCCTAAATTAGCAAATTCCAGCCAAGACTGGTAAGGGGGACGGCCTCAAAACACCAGAAATTCCTAATTTAGAGAGTGATTCTATAGTTTTTGGTATACGCCATGGTATACCTTGAAAACTGGCACTGGATATTCTTTTAGCGTAAAATTAAGTATATTGCTCAATCTTAAAAGTATACCAGCCCACGAGTTTGCATGAAAAATTAATTTGAAGTGAAGAAAGCGCAAAAATGAGATCAAAAAGTTTTAGGGCTGCCAAGATGTTTCAACTGTCATTCGGGCTCGGCTCACAGAGATTCGCAAAAGGGCTCGGTTCTTGCTCTAAAGTCCATTGAAACTCTATCCCCCTCAAGAACATAAATATCACAGCTCGTCACAAATCCTTATATACCGGCAGGTTTTTGTAATGTTTCTGGCCTTTGGGATGTCGACGAAACTGCTTCAGCAGTTCCGGGGGCGTGGGAACCTAAAAGATGCTTAATTCTGGCACCTCGTGTCAATTGTGCTTTCGCCTAGTTTTTGCTAGATTTTTTATAGTTACCAGCAACACATAATTCACAGTTCAGCGTCAAAGAGTCTGAAGTATAAAAAACGCTCACAACGAAGCCAGATCTGTGACCTTGCAATTGGTGTGAAATTGTGGATTTGTGTGACGTGCTGGGTGCAATAATCGCAGTGATGGCAGTAAACATGAAAGGTCTCGATCCAACACAACCCCTAGAACTTTGAAAAAAGAGGAGAAAGCAAGCGTTTTTGTTTAATGGGACTAGCAAATTCTGAAGTATGCACAGACAAAGCGACAGCCACGATCGTGTCTGTGATGGCATGGTATATGCAAGTTTGCTAAGGCTCCTTCAGACCGATTTGCTATCAAAACGTTAAAATTATCCCAGTTTCATATCGGGCAAGTTTCATGATGCCCAATTTTTCCACGAATCGACTAATGGATTCCGTAAAATCCCCAGATCTCAAAGCATTATAAAGTTACAATAACGCACTGTTTTGGCCACCGGCCAAAGTGCTTTTTTGACGAAAATCTTCTTAAAACAATTTCTCGGCCTAGAATGGAAAAACGATTGTGGGTTACCGTATTGTGACGGCATTCGGCAACTTTCTTCAATAGAAGATCTTCTTGAAACAATTTCCGTACCGAGAATTTTTGAAAAAATTGGGTGCCGTCAAAATTATGTCCACTAGTGTACTCAAATACCATAATGGCTGTTCCTAAAATTGTTCCGCTCCCTCAAACATCAAGAAAGCTTTCAAATTCCACTCTTTCGGCCCCTCGGTCATTTTCTTCTTGGTCCGCGGCACTCCATTTATTTCCCGGACTACACATGACGATGGCGCCCAAATGCGCTTGGGATTTAGCCGCCCTCTAAGGAAACTGTGAAGCTGTTTCCGTATTCTGAAAAGTGCTGGAATTCTGAAATTTACTTGAAATGGGCCTTCGACTAAATTTTCGTTTAATTGTTGCCATATTATACCTTGTTCCGACAGATGGTCAATATTACTTTGTCCGATTCCCGAGTCCTTCACCTTCCACTGACGCCCCGGATGCGATTTGTTTCGAAGCATGTGTGAATTTGGGAGACGCTTGTAAAGGCATTGGTGAGTCGAGGGGCATATCTTTATTATTAAGTCAAGATATCCACTGTCAAACATACGGACCGGATGATGGAGACCCTGACGTGGTCTTTCTGAATAGCTCGTCGGGAACGGATGTCATTAATGCGTGCGATATTCATATTCAAGCTTGTACAGAAGTAATAACTTTACCAAAGGTAACTTTTTCTATTGATACTTTTCCTGCCAAATTACCTTAATAACTCTATCAAAATATTTTAGTACTATTGTGCAGACGACGGCTGGACGTTAGGAAACGGCACTGCTAAATGTTATATGGTACCGAATTAAACTTTTGACGATACCCTGATTTTCTTTAGATGACAGGCCAAAATGCAACGTTTAATGATACCACAATGACGTGCGAAGGCCTAGAAGCGAGGGTTCTGACCGTGGAGACTTCGGCTGAGAATCGAGCGATTTTCAGTTTTGAACCGAATCCTTAAAAATATCATGTTTTTAGACCTTTGGCTATCGAAAAACTTCTACTACGGTCCTTACTTGAATGGGATAAGGGTATTCTTTTAGGCACAAATAATCAAAAACACGTCCTAGACCGGGACCGGACAATTCGACTTTGAGTGGGCTGACGGGACCCCGATGTACTATACAAATTACGATGATGCTTCCATGAATGATTTTGAGGGTTTGGAATATTGTTTGGAGGCAAGTAAAGGTTTTATTCAAATCGTTATTTTCGGATTTTTTGATCCTTGCGTGGCTTTGCAAATATTCTAGATGCTCGGCACCGGTGGTCCATGGAACGACCTGAAGTGTGATGCCCTTCGAAGTGTCGCTTGTGAGAAATCTGCAAGCGTTTATCAATAAAGATGCCAAAATTTGCAGCAAAGGTTTATTAACGCGTGAAGCGAGGCTTATTTGACAAACAACCTTTCTAGTTCGGAAAATCTCGATGTTAATCAATTGATTGATCGCAATTTTTCGCGGGTTATAGAAGTGTATTGATTGATCCGTGAAAATGCATCAAATGCCCGCCGTCACGCAAGGCATTGCGGGGCGAATTCATTCCGCGAAATAATGTGCAATATCACCCTTCCAAATATTTTTAAAAAATGACCACGTCAACAAGCCGAAAGCCTGCCACCTGATAGCACTGACACACTTGAAAAATGTGAGAACAAAGACGCCGCCAAAAATTCTGGTGAACTGCTGCATAAAATTTCAAGTAGAAGCGTTTGTATAAAAGCAACTCGGGGAGTGGCAGAAGGGCTTTGAAAAATGTTTCTAAACTTTGGTGTGTTTTTATTGGCCATTTTGACCATAGTCACTGCGGCGGCGATTGATTGTGCTGGTTCTGGTTGTGATGACGTAAGGCTTAGCTTTCAAACTTATTGATAGAAGGTTCAAAACTGCGATAGCAGGATCAGAGACTTTCAAAACAAACAAAATTACGTTTGACTAGGATCATGCCACTTTCAGTTGACTTGTCAGGATGGGTGGACGGCGATGAATCGGACGAGAAGCTGCTTTAAAGTAAGATTGCCAGAAAATCTTGCCCGACCCAAAAACTTCAAAACGTTCGAGAAGCAGTCATTACTCACAAATATTATCCGCCGCATTTTTATGCTTTTTAATAATCTGTTAATGTGAATCTGGGGGTCAAGCAAGTGCTTTTCAGCTAATCCGCAACGTCAGCATGTCAAACTCCTCGGCTGAATGCCGTCGGTATGGTGCAACCGTTGCTTCAATCAGAAATGCGAACGAAAATAAGGACCTTTTAGGTTCATCGCCCTCATTTTTCAAAATCTAAATTTCGTTTCAGAGTTTGCCATCCATGCTCAAGTCAAACAGAAAGAAGCCTTTTTCCTGGGAGCCAACATGGTACGGTGTGTTCATACGAAGGACCCATTTTTATTCTAGACCGGAAAGGGGCCTTGGGAATTCAAGTGGATCGACGGGAAACCTGTCAACTATACAAACTGGGCTCGTAAGGAGCCGAACGATCATAGGGACCAGGGCGAGACGTGTATTGAGGTATGTTCGGATCAGTACCTCTTAAAATAGGGATAATAATCTGTGGTAGACCCAGTTTGACAATTTCAGATGTACGTACGCTATTGGAAGTTCGACAAGACGAAAAGTCTTGAACAAAATATGGACGCTACCGGCGCCGGGAAATGGAATGATCTGAAGTGCGATTGGAGTCCGAGGGCTTTTGCGTGTCGTAAGGATCAGGTTAGTAGTAAATTCGGCTATTGCTAAACCTTTCCGATTTTGTTAGGCCAACGGGCTACTTGGGCCCAGCAAGGATGCTACAGCCGGGACGACGGCCAGCACATTGAGTACCACGGCAACTACCACAAAGAGGGTACCCAAGGTTAGAAGGCCTGATCGTGAAGCTTGATTTGTCCGTGCTGTTGAGAAGGCTCTTTTCTGCAAAAAGGGTTCGCGCATTACATTTTTTTAAGTTGAAAGTTTATCGGCGGACCAATCTATGCTTTCCGGCGGCGGCGGCGGAAACGGCGGCGAAATATAGTGTTGGCGCAAAGAAATCGGAGAGATTCGCGCAAAATACGAATGAGTGAGGGCCATCGTCGTATGCTAATAATTTGCCAGAAATCACTGTCACTTCGGAGCTTGTATAAGGTGGTCTTACGAAAGTGCATACCTACCGTCGGCTTGCTGACAGTTGTGATAACGCTCGGCTCTTCTGGGGGATATTTACTGGGGCCCTGGATTTCGGGACGCTATGTCAAATGTTGTGGCTCTTCGAATAGCGATGTCTCTTTACCTGATCCTTACGACACGCGAAAACTCTCGGACTCCAGTCGCACGTCAGATCGTTCCACTTCCCGGCGTCAGTCGCTTCCATATTCTGCTCCAAACTTTTCGTTGGGTCGAACTTCCAGTACCGCATGAACATCTAAATGAAGGTATCCTCGGATCTTTCTCTGGTCATTTTCGAATAGCTTTGAAATTCCTACCTCAATGCATTCTTCCGATTTTCCATTGTGTTTGTCGCTCGGCTCTCCCTTCTTCCAGTTCGTATAGTTGAACCTTTTCCCATCAATCCATTCAAATCCCAAAGGCCCGCTGCCCTTCTAAAACAGGAGCTACGCCGGCGCCTATTTACGTATAAGTTTTCTTGCGCCCAGTTAGCTCTTTGCTCCACTTCAAAATCCTACCTTATATAATTTGGTCGCGTATCTTTGTGTGTGTGTGTGTGCGGAGGTCAGTTTCGAGGCTCGATTTGAGGGCCTTCCCGTGCCCAAAATGCCATAATTCTCCGTCACCCGGGGGAATCGACCCTCCTCTTTCCGATGGTGCTTTCAGAATCCCGATAAAATAAAAGTTTACAAAGTTAAAGCCGGTTTTATTGATTTTTGGGGGTCCGGGCGGGCTAATTTGCATAATGTGAAAAAATACAAATTTCCTCATTCTTGCCAGTTGCACTCGCGAGTTTGGTCGTTTCTTTGGAGCTGCCTCTTGATGCCTTTCCTTCCCCTGCCCCGGGCAGTCCTCTTGAGGCATAAAACGGGTGTTGACGCGTGCTGCCAAGCATTGCATGGTGTAGTGGTTAGCGCTTCGCCTTGCTAATCTAACCATCGGTGGTTCGATCCTCGGATATCGCAGTTGTTTTGCTTTTTGCTGGCAAGTGCGTTTTGGAGTGGATTTCCGTGTCGGGACGTTATTATGAAATTAGTCACTCAAGCCGCAGTCTATAGAATGAAGCTACCCGCTCAAGCATGCGCCGCAGGCCAAAGAATCAAGCTAACTGCTCAAGCTAGCGCGGCAGACTTTAGAACGAAGCTAGCCGCTCAAGATTGCGCCGCAGGCTAAGAACGAAGCTAGCCGCTCAAGATTGCGCCGCAGGCTAAGAACGAAGCCAGCCGCTCAAGCTGGCGCCGCAGGCTTTAGAATGAAGCTAGCCGCTCAAGCTAGCGCCGCAGGCTTTAGAATGAAGCTAGCCGCTCAAGCTAGCGCCGCAGGCTTTAGAACGAAGCCAGCCGCTCAAGCTAGCGCCGCAGGCTAAGAACGAAGCCAGCCGCTCAAGCTGGCGCCGCAGGCTTTAGAACGAAGCTAGCCGCTCAAGCTTGCGCCGCAGGCTTTAGAATGAGGCAAGCCGCTCAAGCTAGCGCCGCAGGCTTTAGAATGAGGCAAGCCGCTCAAGCTAGCGCCGCAGGCTTTAGAACGAAGCTAGCCGCTGAAGCTAGCGCCGTAGGCTTTAGAACGAAGCTAGCCGCTCAAGCTAGCGCCGCAGGCTTTAGAACGAAGCCAGCCGCTCAAGCTAGCGCCGCAGGCTAAGAACGAAGCCAGCCGCTCAAGCTGGCGCCGCAGGCTTTAGAACGAAGCTAGCCGCTCAAGCTAGCGCCGCAGGCTTTAGAACCAAGTTAGCCGCTCAAGCTAGCGCCGCAGGCTTTAGAACCAAGCTAGCCGCTCAAGCTAGCGCCGCAGGCTTTAGAACCAAGCTAGCCGCTCAAGCTAGCGCCGTCGGCTTTAGAACGAAGCTAGCCGCTCAAGCTAGCGCCGCAGGCTTTAGAACCAAGCTAGCCGCTCAAGCTAGCGCCGTCGGCTTTAGAACGAAGCTAGCCGCTCAAGCCAGCGCCGCAGACTAACGAATAAAACCAACCATTGAAGCTAGCGCCGCAGGCTTTAGAACGAAGCTAGCCGCTTAAGCTAGCGCCGCAGGCTAACGAATAAAGCCAACCATTGAAGCTAGCGCCGCAGGCTAAAGAAGGAAATAACCGCTCAAACTTGCGTCGCAGGCTTTATCTCGAAGCAAACCGCTCAAGCTGGCGCCGCTGGCCGCTGGACCTGGCCGATCAAACATGCGCCGCAAACCTAATAACGACACTAGCGATTTAAGCTATGTCAATACAAAGAGGTTTGCATGGGAGATGTGTTTTTCTTTCTTCAGGGTAACTTTATGTGGAAGGGCGCTCGATTCATAGGGCCTAGACGGGGTCCAGCGGGGGAGAGTCGCGAAGCGGCTCCTCCCCCGCTGGTCGATAAATGAGGTACCTTCTTGGCGCCGAGGAAGTAGGCCTCAGTTTTCTTTCACTTGGGAAATAATTCCGAATTCTGAAGATGCTGTAACGATACTGGAAGAAATCATACCTAGGATATCCTTATTTTCTTCCACATTGCCAACAGAAGCCACCGTTGCACCGTAGAGTCCGCATTCTGCATTCGCTTTCGAGATATCGGCATTTCTGATCAGCTAGACAGAGCAGCTGGGTCTAAGTGTCTAATCGTATGGATACCCTGAAGCAGCTTCTCGTCCGGTTCAGCGCAGTCCATCCCACTTCACAAGTTAGCTAATAAACATGTTCACATGTGTTTTTAAGAGAAACCCTGGCCACAGTCCGCCATGAAAACTTACCGCATCGCAGGCCCCATTTCGGCAATCCGGTACAGTGGATACGGTAGTCGCCAGGAAAAGCAGAGAAATGCCGAACTTTACGACCATCTCCGAACGATGGACGAAGAATATCCAATGCATGGGCGGCGAGTTGTTTTATAAGCATCGCCTTGCAAATTTTATGCGGTCAAAAACCTATATCAATTCAGTATTTTAAGATGTATCAATTGATATGAATATAGTTTCAGTTGGGTTTTTAACGAAATATAGCGGATCAGATGGGCAAGAAAGAAAAAAACTTGAACGCAAAATTTGATCTTGCTTTGTGTTTGTGACCAAGAATGTTAACCCCGATGGCTGGGGGCAGAATTTTATGCTAAAGGCCCAGGTCTTTGACCGTTTATTCATGAAAACCAGAAAAACAGCGCGTATAAAAGTAGAATTGGAGGGCTGGGTGTATCTTCTTTCCGGGGCCGCACCTGCCGGAGATGGTCGCGAAAATCGGCATATTTTTATTGGCCCTATGCGGTACGGTAACTGCGCTACCGAAGTGTCCGAGAGGAGAGTGCGACTCGGTAAGTTTTGAGAGCGCTGAAACCTTGGAAACAAATGAATATGATATTTTTAGCTGACCTGTCAGGATGGATGGCTGGCCCTGAACCGAACGCGAAGCTGTTTTAAGGTATCCGGAAGCGCAAAGTAATACCTAAATTTCTGCAGATGATCCGAAACGTGGACATCTCGAAAGCTGTAGACGAATGTAAACGATATGGCGCTACCGTAGCGTCGGCGGTAAATGCGGACGAGAACAAGGATATTCTGGGTATGAAGTCAGTCTCAAAATCCACTGTTTCGGTTTTTTCAGAATTCGCAATCATGTCCCAAGTGCAGAAGAACGAGACACTCTTTTTGGGAGCGAAAAAGGTACGAAGGAAGGAAATTAGGGATCGACGGTGCTTCAGACCGGCAAAGGACCGTCGGGTTTCAAGTGGCTCGACGGGAAACCCTCCAACTTCACCAACTGGGATCGCAGAGAGCCCAGTGATAATCATCAGGGCAAAAATGAGGATTGCATCGAGGTACTAACTTTACAACAGGCAAGCGTGCATTTTTAAAAGAGAAAACGTGCAATGCTATGCAAAAAACCCGGGGGAGAGCAGGTCCATCAAGTTGACAAGGGACCACCCAAGGTCAACGAGGCGCTTCTAAATTGGTCCCAGCCTATATCGCGCGGAATTTTTGCCCCTGATTCTCAATCGGATTTCAATTTTTTTTGTCAAATAATTCGAATTAAGGTGTTATAGCGCTTTTAGGTACATTAGGAAGGGGAGACATGGCAGGGGGCTTTCCGCGAGAGGAGAATTTTGGCAGGAAATCGCCCCACGCGGAAGAAATTATGTCAATTTCTCGGCTTCTTTAATTTAGTTATTAAAAATTTACCTCTATCTTTTCACAGAAATGGAAAACGGATCTTGCTCAGTTTTTTCAAGCGCCTTCGAATGAGCTAGGTCTCGTTCCAAAATTCCATTTGCACCTAAGACGTCTCATTGTTAGTGGGCACAGGATTCATGCGTAGTCTGTGCTCGCTGAACCGGCCAAGAGTGAAAATTTTATAGATGTATGTTCGATACTGGAAGTTTGACCCAACAAAGAGCCTGGAGCAAAACATGGCCGCGACCGGGGCCGGAAAATGGAACGACCTGAAGTGTGACTGGAGCCCGAAGGTTATGGCGTGTCGCAAAGACCAGGTAGGCCATTCGCAGCGAGATTTAGTAGATGTTTAGACGCCCGTTCTACAAGCGCCAACCAGGGATCCGCCACAGGATATCCCTACCAGGAAGACGACGGTAGCCACCACAACATCTACCAAGGCTACCACTACCACCACCACAACCACCAAGGCTACCACCACCACCGTACTGAAAGTGTGCGGCTATGGGTGGTCGGTCGGGCCGCATGGATGCTATAAATATGTGAGTCTTGAATCGAGTGGCGATCGCCCAGCCTAAGCCAGGCCTAACCCCTAATCTTCTGCGCACCATCATAGGCTAAGCCTAACCCGAAAAACGTAATCATCGGCATCAAAAACTCAGACAAAAATTCCACGGCGTTAAATCGACGCCCCCCCCCCTTCCGATTTTGACGATTTATGTATCTAACGAAAGCGCTCGCTTGGAAAGGAAGCAAGCACTTTTTGTGTTTCAACATATGTATTTTAATCTACGAATTATAAAACCAATATCAATGAAAACTGCAGATTGAATGCAAAATCAAGCTAACAGGGTGACGCTGTATTTACGGGTAAAAGAATAGAGCTTTTTTCCACCGTTTCGAGGGCTTTCGAATGGTGTAAAAATCATCCCGATCCGGCCTTTTCCGGGACCGCTAGAGGGGGGGGGTAGTTTGTTTTGGGACACGCTGTATTTAAGTCCCTTTCTTGTTTTTAAAGAGTTGGCTGATTAGGGTGGCTCTAGGTTCTTGCTTACCAGCCGAATTTTCAAAAAATGTATGACATAAGTTACGAGAGTAAAATGTTCAGCCGTTTTCCGCATTAACTTTGTTCTTGCTACGACAATTTTAGAGCAAAATATTTTAAGCAAGCAACATTTTCAGATAAAATGTTAAACCATAGTATGTTTTTCCGACTGGGGGAGGGCTTTAAATATCCTATTTAGGACGGTACGCTAGGCAGCTACGACAATCGTTTGGCATACTGTCGCGGTTTGAACAGCTATCCGACGTCCGTCATTGACAGCGAGGAAAATCGATTTGTTACTGGTAAAATTTATATGAGCCCGAATGACATGGGTGAGCGGTTGCACTAGCATTTCTCTACGATTTCAAAACTTCAGACTTGGCACGCCGCGGCGGGGCCCCCTTACATTTCTGGACCGGCGCCTACCTGGTGAGCCAGTTAGATTTGAGGATTTACTATTGCCTATTGTCAAAACGAAGTTTACCTCCAACCAATCGTTTGCAGTCTAGCGACCATAGAATCACATGGGAGGATGGCGAGCGGAACAATACATACTCGAACTGGACCCCGAGATTGTGGGGCGCCATCGGAGACGAATACGTTAAGCCAAACCACATTGACACCGAACACTGCATTGAGGTGGGGTAGGCGCTGGGGTAGGAAACTTAAAGGGCCGGAGAAAGATGGCCAGGCGTCAGTTGGGGTGACGGACCGACGTGACGCTACTGTCGACGTAATTCGTATTCCGAAATCGTAATTTTCATGCAAAGTCAAATTTCGGCGAAAGCCAGAAAACCGGAAACGGCCGCTGCAACCACCCTAGGGTATTTGAGGGCTTTTCAGCCCCTGGCTCGGTTGGCGCCATGGTGTACTGGTTAGCACGCTGGGCTGTGGGGTGAACCACCGCTGGTTCGATGCCGCTGCAAAATTCTTTGCTTTTTCGCCAAATACACCTTTCTTGAGCCCTTTAAAAGGAGAACGATGGCATAAGTAATCGGTGACGCCAGGGAAAGCTAATGTCATTGCGTCTCGCCCCCTCGGCGCGATCTCTGCCCTGCTGTCTATTTGCTAAAAAGTCGATAGCGTCGGTAGCCCTTTATAGGGGCCCGGAACTGCCAAATCAAAGCCCTGTTGCGAGGGCTCTTTGGAGTTCTGAGAAATTGCCAGCCGCCGCCGCGGGACGAGAACCCTCCCTGCGCGTAAACGTTTTTGCTCGATCTCTTGTGTCAAAACACTATAATTCGCGGATTCTAAGCTCATTTCTAAAATCCTCACTAGATTTTAAGTGGTTTGGTGTTTCAATCATCGAGTTTTTTTCCAGAAACTGCCGAGAATGAGATTTGGGGTGACGACAGGGAATTTCAAATTCACGCGCTTCCCGCCCCCTGTGGTGTGCAAAGGCCTTTGACGTACAGGGCTCGGGTTTTCCGGCCGTAACCCAATTTTTGGGAGTTCGGAGCCTCTTTAATAGAAGGATTCACCCCAGGAAACCACGAAGACTGACAATGTTATACGAGCCTAGCCAATTAACCTTTTAGATCATGACATTCCGGAACGGGAACGGGTGGGACAACACATATGAATGGAACAACGACCCATGCAGCTGGGCAAAGCCTGTCGTCTGCAAGAAGCCATACGGCTATTGAGCACCGATAAATACATTTTAACTTCACCTGTAAGAATTGCGATTCGATAAACCCTGAACCGGTATATGTAGGATACGCAGCGGGGAGGGGGGAGACAACATAAATATTTTTATTACATCTTTTTTTTTGCTACAAACAAAACTCCCCGGCATGTCGCTGCAGGTCTCCCCGGATCCTTTTTGGTAATTTTGCGACCGTTATGAGATTAATTTCTTCAAGGCATTTCTGCGATTTTCAAGGGTGCTTATCGTTGGCCTCTCCCTTCATCCAGTTTGTGTAATTGAACCGGATCGATCCATTCAAATCCAAAATGTCCACTGTTTTTCCAAAAACAAGACCTAGGCGAGCGCCTATTTACGCATGCGTCTCTCTTTTTCCAGGGCTGGGAACTAGGTCAAATTGTCGGGTCGTATGGATACTTTGAAGCAGCTTCACGTCCGGTTCAATGCCGTCCATCCCGCTTCGCAGGTTAGCTAAAAAACAATTGGTTGTTACACACAATGGCTTAGTAAGATTTCCAGTCGCCTGATCGAAATATCGCGTGATCGAAAATCGCGTGATCGAAAAATCGCGTGATCGAAAATCGCCTGATCGAAAATCACCTGATCGCAAATCGTTTAATCGAAAATTGTCTAATCGATAATAACTCAAAAAGTAGTTTTAACACATGTTAGAAGCCTAGAAAAGCCCTAAATTTTTGGAGTTATTTTCGATCAGACGATTTTCGATCAGGTGATTTTCGATCGGGCGATTTTCGACCAGGAGATTTTCGATCAGGCGATTTTTTCTACAGTTCGGTACTGCGAATACAGTAACCGCCAGAGCCAGCAGCAATATACCGAACTTCCCGGTTACATCCGGATAATCCGATCGCCAAGAATGCCACTTACCGGTCAAGTTTCCTTGATTTTCAGGCGCGCTACTTTGCAATTGTCAAAAGCAACCGCTACTGTGACCACCATGCCCAGCTTAAATCAACCAAAATTCGCCCATTTCCGAACGATCCGGTCGCAAAGAATTCCATCGAAATATTAAGGCGCTGACGCACATATCGGGCGGCACTGCATGATCCAGAAAGCATCAGCAAGCGGGGGCGGGGGCTGATCAACAGCGACGCCATCCTAAATTTTCATCGAGTTTCGATCGTTTTTGCTCTTTGAACAAAAACGTAAAAATGTGACGGGGAAGCATGAATTTTTGAGCGAAAATCTAGGTTTTTGGCCGCATAAAATTTGCAAGGCGATGCTTATAAAACTGCCCGCTCCCATGCGTTGGATATTCTTTGAGAACGGATCGTCCGAAGATGGCTGAAAAGTTCGGCATATTTCTGCTTTTCCTAGCGACTACCGTATCCGCTGTACCGGATTGCCGAAATGGGGCATGCGATGCGGTAAGTTTTCAAGGCGGACTTGGCCAAGGGTTTCTCTTAAAAACGCATGTGAAAATGTTTATTAGCTAACTTGTGAAGCGGGATGGACTGCGCTGAACCGGACGAGAAGCTGCTTCAAGGTATCCATGCGACTCGAGAGCTAGATCCAGCTGCTCTGTCTTTTTCTAGCTGATCAGAAATGTCGATATCTCGAAAGCGGAAGCAGAATGCGGACTCTACGGTGCAACGGTGGCCTCCGTCGGGAATGCGGAGGAAAATAAGGATATCCTAGGTATCTCCTCTTTCAGTATCGTTACAGCATCTTCAGAATTTGGAATCATTGCTCAAGTCAAGAAGAATGAAGCGTATCTTCTCGGCGCCAAGAAGGTAGCTAAAGTTATGGCTTTTGAAGTAAAGCAAATGCCGACACGTCGTAACTCGCCGGCTAAATACGCGGCGAAATACGGGAAAAGAAGAATACGTAAATAGGCGCCCGCGTAGGTCCTGTTTTAGAAGGGCAGTGGTCCTTTGGGATTCGAATGGATCGATGGAAAGCGGTTCAACTACACAAATTGGAAGAAGGGAGAACCAAGCGATAAGCACAATGGAAAGAAGGAGGAGTGCGTTGAGGTGAGAACTTTAAAGGGCTCCTAAACGAAGTCAGAACAAAGATTAACGGGAATTTTGTTTAGATGTTTGTGCGGTACTGGAAGTTTGACCGAACGAAGAGCTTGGAGCAAAATATGGAAGCCACTGGCGCCGGAAAATGGAACGATCTGAGATGTGATTGGAGTTCCAGGGCTTTCGCATGCCGTAGGGATCAAGTAAGAAGTACCCTGGCTCTAATAAAGCTAACGCTATGTAGCGCGCCGAAATGCAAGCACCCAGCAAAGACACTCCAGTCGGCCCGATTGTCACGAGCACGGCTAGGGCGGTGACGTCCGCCACGAAGCAGCGCTATGTAAGCGTTAAACCAAGATATACTTTGGTATTATAGTTACTAAAAACCGGTGACCAAAAGTTAAGTATAAGCTCAGTTTAAGTCCTTTTTTCGTCTTTTAGTTTTTAGTTTTCGCTTGTTCCGTTTCGCATAGATTTGGAGGGAGCGCCAGAAAATTTGACCTCCCTCATAGAGCGCAAAGAAGAGACTTTCCACGTGCAGGGTTCCGATTTCACGTCGTCACCTCAATTTTCGGCATTTCGGCCGGGACGAGCACGGCCAGATTGCGTGTTTTTTTGCCGCGGCCGTTAGACCCATTTTCTGAGGCACCTCGTTTTGCTAAATGTTGACCTCATCGGATTTTATCACACCAAATTTCATTCATCGTCTCCTGTTCATCAATGCAAATTAGCATAAGTGGTCTTTTGGGCGTTCAAAAACCATCTCCAGAAGCAAGGAAACCGTTTCATATTGCAACTCAAATTTGCGCGATCGGTCAATAATTCACCATTCATAAAAATCAACATTATAGGCTTCGTGCCCGCCTCGTTGGAAGATGATCGCTGCCTTTGAAAAATGTTATGCGGTAACATCAGACGAAAAAAATCACTACGTCCCAGATTCTCGCATCGCCCACCAATTTCGATGACGCTCAAGCGAACTGCGTGCGGTACAATGCCACCTTGCTCCACATTGACAACAGCGTCGAAGACCAGTTCATCAACGGTTTGGATGGCCTTTTTGCCCGATCAGACAACGGGCCGGGCCCGGACATTTTAAGCCCAAAAAAGTAGCATACACCCGTGCCGACGGGCTTCGGCTTGCTTCATGGTCCGAAGCTGAAGTACAGTGCCCCCCGCCCAGCCAATCCCCGCGTACTGTATTTCAGCTACCCTTTGTCCTACCGGGTTGTAAAGTATACCAAAATACTCACCAGCCAAGGCAAATGGTTTGGCATACTTTGAAAACCTATAGGCCAATTGGGAGCCGAGATACGAAAGTGGGCAGCCGGCTGGCTGGCTCTTATCGCGCTATCAGGAGTCCCTGTTCTGAATTATTTTCAATCAAAACTTGGCTACGGTTTATTTTACCCCCCAGCCGGAAGTTTTTGGCTATAACTTTTTTATTTTACATTATTGTAGGCTCAAATTAAAACTCTTAGTATATTTTTCGACGCTCTATCGAATAGCGTTGCACAACTCCCGACAAAATAAGCGAAAATACCGAAAGCTTTCAGACCCTTCGGCTGTGGGGGGAAAGTAAACTCTTACCCAAAACTTTGATGCAAATTCCAAAATGGTATTCTCAAAGGTTACTGGACCCGCACGGTATATTTAACCCGGATATGACGGTAATGAGAACCGTATCTCCGTACTGATCGAAGATTTGTGGGACGTTTGGCAATTTTCTTAATTAGCTTTTGAAGACCGCTATCCTGGCCGGAAGAAGGCCCTCGAAATTTTCAATTTGGTATAGTAATTTGGGTCCTTGAGTATTCCGGGGGGAAGAATTCGCGGGGGGAAACCTTTTTCTGTTTTTTTTCGGGCACTATTTTTTTCTGTTGGCCCTGGTGGGCATAGCAATCAAACATAAAGTGTTTCACATTGTTTTAGCAAAATTTAAGCCGATTTAAATAGGAAAACTTTTTAAAAAGTCAGAAAAACGCTTGAAAAAGTCAAAAATTTGGTCATTTTTGGGTCGAAAAAATTGATTTCGACCTAAAATTAAATTTTTTAATTAAAATTTGTAAAGCTTGTATGCTTAGGAATAGCTATAAACAATTTAGAAACACTTCCACTATTGATATAAAAAATCTAGGCTTGGGCCGGAAAAAGTTCGATTCCCCACAATTCTTTCCCCCCCCTAATTCCCCCCCCCCCGAATTCTTCCCGGGAATACTCAAGAACCGTAATTTGGAATTGGGGCGGGGGGGCGTAATCTGCCATTGCTTCCGGGGCCGGCTCCGGATAATTTCAGGCCGGGACCGCGCGCTCCGCTAATTTGCATCATTTCCCGGGGCACGCAAGTGAACCATTCTCAAATGTAAATTCTAGGCCCCTAGGCTTGGAATCGCGATGCATGTGAAATAAATCATCTTGTTTAGGATGGGCAGCAGGCGTCTACAGTGGTGCTCGTTTTTGGCTGGGAGCGCGGAGGGTCAGTAGATTTTTCCATTTTTAGCCTTTTGAGTTGAAAATATGCATCGCGTCGTGAAAAAAATATAGCTGACGGCTCCCTATCCTAAGAACCGTTCCCATAAGTCGGCAAATGTCTGATAGCTTAAAAGGCCGTCCGCCAGCCACTGGAACAGGCCCCATACTAGCTTGGCACAGTTTTTTTCGACCCATTTTTTATGACGTCATCTGAAAGAGCATCATAGTAAAGTGATCGTGAACTTTTAAAAGTTAATTTTGAGTCAAAATGGGCCATCAAAGTTCCCGACACCCAAAAATATACCGAAAACCACTGAACAGTATTTGCCGAAACTTGTGACAATCCCAATTGGGTCAGGGAACATTTTTCTAATACATTGCAACACCAGAAGTGGCCGGATCTACTATCTTACTATATATAGTTTTTCTGATGTTCGTAGCCTTGACGGCCGACCGACCGGACCAAGCGATTCAATCCCACAAGAACCACCGAAATTACCGTAGCCATGCCGTTTCGCCTTTTCCCCGGAGGACGCAGCGAGCACCCCGCAGGAACCGAGAAACGTCCTGGAATTTTTAATATTTAACCCATTAATAAAAACCAGGATCGAAAAGCCGCTTCGCGACCTTTCAACCCTTTTGGGTTTTGAGTCTGAATACGCTGAAAATATGTTAAAATAATAAGGTGCGCATGATTCCCACTATCGAATACATAAGTTCTCCAAATTACTGTCCGAAATTCCATCAGGGCTGCGGGTTATGCCATGGACACCATGGCTTCTAACCCATTTTCTTAAGAACTTTGTACTTTTTTGCTTGTAAAATTGCTAAATGAAGGAATTTCGAAAAACAAAAAATGCGTGTCAGGCAAATGTATTTCTCATAGAAAATGCTTATAGGATAGGATAGTTGCCTTGCCCTCCAGCCCCATATTGCGAAAGAACCCAAGTGTTTTCAAGGTGCCGCCGACCATTAATGGCACGTTTGTTTGGATCGACACCAATTCAACGGGTCAATATTATCCTTGGAAGGAAAGTCAATATATGTCGAGGTCTGAGTTGGATGAAGAAGACGAGAGATTGCGTAGGGGCAATTGGAACGAATGCCTGGAGGTAAGCATAATCGCATGTATTTCATCATTTTTTTTTCCACGTCAGACACGTCTTCCGTTCTGGCAGGGGAAGGATTGCTTGGCTAGTAATAACTACGCTATCTGCCAGAGAGCCGTCACCTGGACATAGTTGAGCAAGACCCTGGAGACTTTCATTCCGAATAAATCTGAATAAATGGTGGCTGTGTCGCAATGCGTCAAAAACTGGCAAATGAATCTTCGGAGAATTTTGGGAATTCAGAAAAAGTTTTTTTCTGTGTTCTCTAACAAAGATTTCCCGTCTATCTTATCCAGGCCCGTAGGAGGGGGGCCGAAATCGGTCGAGGTCTGAAAAATTCATAAGGGGGGGACCCTTATGATTTTTAGTTACAAACATTTTTCTGCCTGCGGCGCTGTTTATTACTGTTTTTCAAACAGGTTTTACTTATATGAAGCCTATTTTTTCAAAAATGTTTGCCTGCGGCGCTGGTTTTCCATTGGTAAATCAATCATTCATAAAAAATTTTCGCCTGCGGCTCGTGTTCTGCAGTGTTTTCACACGAATTTGAGTGTAGCAAACGCTTTTTTGATTATTGACGCGATTTTCGGATGTTTTAAAAGTGGCGACGGGGGGATGGGGGGAAGGTCGCCAAAATTTTTGGGCCCCCCCCCCCGAAATTTCGGTTCCGCTACGGGCCTGATCTTATCCAACATGAAAATTGTTGAATGCTTTACAATATTTTTAGCAATTATTTCACTTTTGGAAGGCATCGATGTTCTGTATAGAGAAATCTAAATCAGACAAAGGATAAATAAAACATAACCGATAAAGACTGAATAAGAAAATAGTCTGGTGACTTCTATTTAGCTGTTACTGACTATCTGATTGTAAGGCGTGAACCATAACGAGCGATGACGCGCAGGGTTTTGCAATAGCTTCGTAAAAATTTAAACTTCTGTAATTCTAACAACGAGCATAGTCATTGAAATCACCACGATTTTTACCACAGCAAAATTATGCTCAACGCTATTTGAAAAGTTTTTAGCAGATACGGAGCTTTGAATACTCCGTTCTCTTACGGATTCTCGTCTTTGAAGTCTCCGTTACAATCAGTCCGGAACATTTTAAGTCAAGTGGATTTGAATTGTTAAAACAGCTTTAAAGAGCGCCGCCCTTTATAAAGGCGCTTTCTTTGAAGTCGGGCTCGGCCAAAAGGAAGCTAAAAAATGTTAGCGCCAGAATTTTTCTGTAGCCTAAGTTTGTGCCTTATTTTTGGACCATTCACGAGCGGTGCAGTCACTTGCCCTGATCAAACCTGGGAAACTTCCGCGCAGCTTGATGCTTGCTTCAAGGTAGGGTTTTCTTTTACTAGGTTTCTCCTTAGGAAAATCTGCTCTTTTTAAGCCAATTCTCCAACCGGACATTGGAGAGGCCCGAAACGAATGTAGGAACCTGAAAGGCCGCCTAGCGTCAGTCGGTTCTGCTGCCGAAAATCAGGAAATTACACGTAATTTATCTGGATATCGGAAAGCCTCAAATTCCATTAGGTATCATCCAAAATTGGGACAAGTCGAAGACGGTCGGCTCGATTTACTACCTTGGATCTTTGAGAGTAAGATATTGCTTGCCAAAACAAAATGATAAATTCAGAAATCCGCCAAAAGCAAAGAGTTTGTATGGCTGGACGGCCGGAAATTCGAATTCGCATTTTGGGATGCGAACGAGCCGAACGCGTTGATGGAGGGGTGCTTGGAGGTAGATTACGACCTCCAAGAGGATATAAACCTCGACCTCTGATAACTTGCATATTTAATCAGCTGAATATATAAGCTTGGTATCTGTGAGTTTGCGTTAACTTCCAGATCCGACTACCCTACGGAAACTGGAACGATATCTCGTGTGCTCACCGGGATCTCGTCGCCGTTTGCGAGTACAGAACGGTAAAATTTCAGAATAGCTTACTGGAAAGTGCCATTAAAAAGGATGAAAATGCCATATGCAATGCCAATGCCAATGCAACATAGTTTATCTTGTGCAGATTTTTTCGCTGCCTCTAAATCTGCTTTCCAACAACAGAAATTGTCGATTTTAAATCCCTCTAAAGATCTCGTTAAATACTTTCTGGATAAACAGAGATGGGCAAAAAATATGTTTTTTCGAATCGGATTATCACACGGGCCTGTAGCTCCATTTTTTGTAACTTGGCTAATTTTTGGATTGTTGCACGCTTTGCCACCCGGTAAAAAATTTTTTTGATCAATTTCCGTAATTTTGATTTTCCAAATTTTCTAATTTTAGAGCTGGCCCTACACCGAGTCCTCGCATCAATATCTTGACCCGACCGCGCAAGAGGTGTCGGCACCAGCGGAACCTACAACGACAACGACAACCCAGAAAACCACGACACCCTCCGAGAAAGTTTGCGGCTTCGGGTGGTCGATAGGACCGCATGGATGCTATAAATTTGTGAGTTTTGAATAGAATAGAGCTTATTCAAATCACTTTTGACCCATCAAAGCTTACAGAAAAAGTACAGAAAAAGCCAAGAACTGACTTTCAGGACATTACCCCAAGAACCTACATCAACAGCTATGCCTACTGCCGAGATTTCAACAGCTTCCCGACGTCTGTCGTTGATGATGAGGAGAATCGATTTGTTACTGGTAAATGCCCTTATTACTGACAATCAAGAGAGTCATTTTCGCTTTTCCTGATCTATTAAGCCCAATTTTTTGCCCCCTTAAAGGGGCTACGAACTGCCAAATCAAAGCCCTTTTGGGGAGGGCTCTTTGATTTCTGGCAAATTGCCAGCGGGCGCTGCGGGACCAGAGCACTCACTCTTTCGCTTTTTGCGCGAAACTGTTTTTGCCCGGTTTCTTTGTGAAAACACTATAATTTGCGCATTCTGAGCCCATTTTTGAAATCCTCACTCAATTTTAAATAGTTTTGGTGTTTTAAGCATCAAATTTGGCCCAGAAACAGCCGAGAACGTGATTTCGAGGTGACAACAGGCTATTTCAAATTTGCGAGCTTCCCGGGCCCCGGGGTGTACAGAGGCCTCCGACGTCTAGGCCTCCGATTTTCGGGCCGTCACTCAATTTTTGGCATTTCTGGGCCCCTTTAAAGGGCACGTTCAGGGACGTTTTTGGGCAAGAAAGCAAAGAATTTCGCCGCGGCCGGGGGTCGAACCCGGGCCTCCCGATCGGGAGACGCGGTCGCATACCAGTCAGCCACAGGTGCAGACTGCCGAGAGGTCTAGGGGCGCCCCACGCCGCAAACGAGGGGAATGGCCTGTCACAGCACGGGCAGGCAGTGCGCGCGGTCCCTACGTCCATAGGGCGTACACGGCCCCTCCCTGAACGTGCGCTTTAAAGCCAATTTTAGACCTGGCAAAACGTGGCGGCGAACCCTGGCATTTTTGGAATGGCGCCCATGTGGTAGGTTAATCGTTATGGTTTTTCTACCACCGTATTCCTTCTTTACTTGGCTTGAAAAAGTAAAAGTAAATGTATCGAAAAACTTTCAAGATGAAACACCACACAAGATTAGTGTAAGCGATAAACGCTTAGCATTGTGACGGGGAAAGTAGCGTGGCGTAGTCCACCTTGACAACGCAGTGCTCCAAAGCGCGTACACGATTTAAATGCATGCCATCATATTCTGGACGTGTTACCGGCCTGTAAATGACCTTTTCCAATTTCAGCACTTGGACGGGACGCTCCTGTGGGCGGACAACGAACGGAATGTGACGTACTCGAACTGGACCCAAAGGTTGTGGGGCAACACTGGAATCGGGTACACGAAACCCGATAATATTGCGACCGATCGCTGTGTGGAGGTATGATTTTCTTACAGCCTAATCCTGTACCTTATATAATTTTGGCGTGTATCTTTGTGTGTGTGTGTGGATGTCAGTTTCGAGGCCCGATTTGAGGGCCTTCCCGTGGATAAAATGCCCTAATTCTCCGTCACCCGGGGGAATCGAACCTTCTGTTTCCGATGGCGTTCTCAGAATTTCGATAAAATACAAGATTACAAAGTAAGGCCGGTTTTATTCATTTTTGGGGGTTCCTGAGGGCTAATTTGCATAATGCGAGAAAATACAAATTTCCTCATTCTCGCCAGTTGCACTCGCGCGTTTGGCTGCCTCATTGGAGCTGCCTCTCATTGCCTTTGCTCCCCTTTCCCGTTAGTCACCTCGGGGGATACAAGGGCTGTTGCGCGCGCGCTCCCAAACGTTTCATGGTATAGTGGTTAGAGCGTCAGCCTGCCAATCTTGCTATCGGGGGTTCGATCCCCGGCTATCGTATTTTTTTGCTTTATGCTCGGAATGCATTTTCGAAGTGTATTTTCCTGTAGGGAGGCGCTATTCTGAAGTCAGTCGCTCTAAACTGCGTCGCAGGCTAACGCATCCAGCTAGGCACTGAAACTACCGCCGCAGGCTAAAGATTCAGGCTAATCCCTCAAGCTAGCGCCGCAGGCTTTAGCATGGATTTAGCTCCACAAACTAGCGCCGCAGGCTCAGGAATGAAGATACCCTCTCAAGCCTGCGCCGCAGGCTTTAGAACGAAGCTAGCCGTACAAGCTAGCGCCGCAGGCTTTAGCATGGATTTAGCTCCACAAACTAGCGCCGCAGGCTCAGGAATGAAGATACCCTCTCAAGCCTGCGCCGCAGGCTTTAGAACAAGCTAGCCGTACAAGCTAGCGCCGCAGGCTTTAGCATGGATTTAGCTCCACAAACTAGCGCCGCAGGCTCAGGAATGAAGATACCCTCTCAAGCCTGCGCCGCAGAGCTTTAGAACAAGCTAGCCGCTCAAGCTAGCGCCGCAGGCTTTAGCATGGATTTAGCTCCACAAACTAGCGCCGCAGGCTCAGGAATGAAGATACCCTCTCAAGCCTGCGCCGCAGGCTTTTAGAACAAGCTAGCCGTACAAGCTAGCGCCGCAGGCTTTAGCATGGATTTAGCTCCACAAACTAGCGCCGCAGGCTCAGGAATTGAGGATACCCTCTCAAGCCTGCGCCGCGAGGCTTTCAGAACGAAGCTAGCCGCTCAAGCTAGCGCCGCAGGCTTTAGCATGGATTTAGCTCCACAAACTAGCGCCGCAGGCTCAGGAATGAAGATAGCCCTCTCAAGCCTGCGCCGCAGGCTTTAGAACGAAGCTAGCCGTACAAGCTAGCGCCGCAGGCTTTAGCATGGATTTAGCTCCACAAACTAGCGCCGCAGGCTCAGGAATGAAGATACCCTCTCAAGCCTGCGCCGCGAGGCTTTTAGAACGAAGCTAGCCGTACAAGCTAGCGCCGCAGGCTTTTAGCATGGATTTAGCTCCACAAACTAGCGCCGCAGGCTTTCAGGAATGAAGATACCCTCTCAAGCCTGCGCCGCAGGCTTTAGAACGAAGCTAGCCGTACAAGCTAGCGCCGCAGGCTTTAGCATGGATTTAGCTCCACAAACTAGCGCCGCAGGCTTCAGGAATGAAGATACCCTCTCAAGCCTGCGCCGCAGGCTTTTAGAACGAAGCTAGCCGCTCAAGCTAGCGCCGCAGGCTTTTAGCATGGATTTAGCTCCACAAACTAGCGCCGCAGGCTCAGGAATGAAGATACCCTCTCAAGCCTGCGCCGCAGGCTTTAGAACGAAGCTAGCCGTACAAGCTAGCGCCGCAGGCTTTTAGCATGGATTTAGCTCCACAAACTAGCGCCGCAGGCTCAGGAATGAAGATACCCTCTCAAGCCTGCGCCGCAGGCTTTAGAACAAGCTAGCCGCTCAAGCTAGCGCCGCAGGCTTTTAGAACGAAGCTAGCCGTACAAGCTAGCGCCGCAGGCTTTAGCATGGATTTAGCTCCACAAACTAGCGCCGCAGGCTCAGGAATGAAGATACCCTCTCAAGCCTGCGCCGCAGGCTTTAGAACGAAGCTAGCCGTACAAGCTAGCGCCGCAGGCTTTTAGCATGGATTTAGCTCCACAAACTAGCGCCGCAGGCTCAGGAATGAAGATACCCTCTCAAGCCTGCGCCGCAGGCTTTAGAACGAAGCTAGCCGTACAAGCTAGCGCCGCAGGCTTTAGCATGGATTTAGCTCCACAAACTAGCGCCGCAGGCTCAGGAATGAAGATACCCTCTCAAGCCTGCGCCGCAGGCTTTAGAACGAAGCTAGCCGTACAAGCTAGCGCCGCAGGCTTTAGCATGGATTTAGCTCCACAAACTAGCGCCGCAGGCTCAGGAATGAAGATACCCTCTCAAGCCTGCGCCGCAGGCTTTAGAACGAAGCTAGCCGCTCAAGCTTAGCGCCGCAGGCTTTTAGCATGGATTTAGCTCCACAAACTAGCGCCGCAGGCTCAGGAATGAAGATACCCTCTCAAGCCTGCGCCGCAGGCTTTAGAACAAGCTAGCCGTACAAGCTAGCGCCGCAGGCTTTAGCATGGATTTAGCTCCACAAACTAGCGCCGCAGGCTCAGGAATGAAGATACCCTCTCAAGCCTGCGCCGCAGGCTTTAGAACGAAGCTAGCCGCTCAAGCTAGCGCCGCAGGCTTTAGAACGAAGCTAGCCGTACAAGCTAGCGCCGCAGGCTTTAGCATGGATTTAGCTCCACAAACTAGCGCCGCAGGCTCAGGAATGAAGATACCCTCTCAAGCCTGCGCCGCAGGCTTTAGAACGAAGCTAGCCGTACAAGCTAGCGCCGCAGGCTTTAGCATGGATTTAGCTCCACAAACTAGCGCCGCAGGCTCAGGAATGAAGATACCCTCTCAAGCCTGCGCCGCAGGCTTTAGAACGAAGCTAGCCGCTGAAGCTAGCGCCGCAGGCTTTAGAACGAAGCTAGCCGTACAAGCTAGCGCCGCAGGCTTTAGAACGAAGCTAGCCGCTGAAGCTAGCGCCGCAGGCTTAAGAACGAAGCTAGCCGCTGAAGCTAGCGCCGCAGGCTTTAGAACGAAGCTAGCCGCTCAAGCTAGCGCCGCAGGCTTAGGAAGTAAGAAGGTCTCTGAATTTGAAGCTCGCGGCGCAGGCTTGCTTAAAGAAAGAGTTAGCCATCAAACTTGCGCCGCAGGCTTTCTCTCCAAGCAAACCGCTCAGGCTGGCCAAAAAAGGAAGCTAATCCCTCAAGCTCGGGCCGCAGGTCGCCGCAGGCCTAATAACAAGACTAACAGTATCTTGCGCCGCATGCCAATACAAAGAGTTTTGCATGGGAGATGGGTTTTTCTTTCTTCAAGGTAACTTTATGTGGAAGGGCGCTCGATTAATAGGGCCTAGACGGGATCCAGCGGGGGAGAGTCGCGAAGCGGCTCCTCCCCCGCTGGTCTACGCAATAAATTATGAGGTACCAGCTATGCGTTTAGATCATGACTTTCCGTAACGGAAACGGATGGGACAACACATATGAATGGAACAACGATCCGTGTGATTTCCTCAAGGCCGTCGTGTGCAAGAAACCTTTTGGATATTGAGTAATGATAAATATACTATAACTGGAGTTATTACTAAAAGCATTTATAGCGATAAGTACGTTATAACAAGTTCTTAAAACGATCGGCAGTCATCCAGAGAATGCACGTTTGCAAATTGCAGGCTTTAGCCAGAAGCACGGGTCATTGTTCCATCGGGACTTGTAAGGCGCAAACGTCATCACCTAAATTAAGGTATACAAACTTAACGTGTCCTAATGTTACTTCAATACATGGCTCCGTCTGCACGTTGTCCGGTTTTTGAACCCCAAAAAGTCTGGCCCAATTGGCGATGGTGGAGGGTTGGCCGTCATCCCAAGTCATGTTCGCGCCGGCAGCCTGTAGACCTTGTTAAATTTTCAATTAAATATTTGTTAGATAGGTTTTTATACTGATTCACAGCCAGTTTTTTTAGACCCACCACTCTTCCGCCGGTCCAAAAATGTAACAACCCGCCGCGTTTGATTGCAAACTCTGGAAAAATGTATTTTATGAGGCTTTTATTAGGTTGGAACATAAGTTCGCGCAATCGAACTTTGGAAATTTCTTTCTGAAAATTTTGTGGCCAGATTCCGATGTTCCCTCTTTGCATTTATCTATTGGGTTCATGAGTATGTGGGACCAAAATGACAGGTTTTTAGCCCCAGTAGTTTTGAAGATTTTTTCGTTTCTCTCGAGGACACTTCAAATTTTTGACCCGGACATCTTTCCGAACCGCCATAAAGTCACCATAGGAACTGATCATCACTATGATAATAAGTTATATCTATCAGCTGCATGCCGAATTAGCCTAAAAGGAGGCCAAATTTGTTTTCTAAAGGCGGGCCGAAGCGATTTTTCATTTTCGCTTAAATATAGCTTTAAAAAATTCTAATAGGGAAGCAATGCGATTCCGTCCCACGCATCGAATAGAGAATTTTATTGCATATCCTTTCATCCAAAAAACATTTTGGTTCTTGCCCGTTTTCCGGTTCGAAAATTACAAAGAAAGAAAAATATTGCGCGAACTTTAGTTCCAACCTAATATGAGCTTCAGTATTTTATGAGACTGTCTTCATTTATGTTAGCCGAACTGGGCAATCTTAAATCCCCCCTGCTAACGCGAAAGCACCTGCATTTCTAATGCTGAAAAGGTTAGGCTATTATATAACGCCTGCTTTATTTTAAAAAAGACACGGACGATGCTATTACCTGCCAGCCAGTTATTTTCCTCGGTATCAACCACGGACGTCAGATTTGATCCGATGCTGCGGCAGTGGTCCTGGTGGTCCCAGCGCGATTTCAGGTCACGAGCCTTCAAATGTGTTTTTTAATCACCTTGTATAACATTATATTGTTTTTTTAAGCTTTTTGGATAGTTTATAGTTGTAGTAATATACAGTTATTATTTTTTAAAGTGCTTTTTCCGCCATAAAACGCACATAATCATAACATCCCTTCGGTCCGACCGTCCAGTGCGGGGGGCAGGGCGCTGCCGAAGCCAGCTTTAAAGTCAAAACACAAATTATAGGGAAAAGCATGACTTTATGGATGAAAGCTCAAGATGAATCACTTTTATCTGTCCCGGGCACGATTAGCATAGCCGGCTCGAGGAATTTCAAGCATGGGAAAGCGGGGCCGTTTGAGGATGATGGCGCTTGTGAAAATCTAAGATCTGGCTCTAGAACAAGTCAGAAACCAGAAGGTGACCACGATTTGACAGCTAATTTTCTGAAAAGATCTAGGTTAGAGTGCAGTTTACCCCCCAGCCAACTTTTGTATCTCGGCTCCCTGTTCATCTACAGGTGTGTAAAGTATACCAAAATACTCGCCAGAGCAAGACGAACATTTTGGTATACTTTACATGCCTGTAGATGAACAGGGAGCCGAGATACGGTAGGTGGGTGCCGGCTGGGGGGTAAACTGCAGATACAAGATCTACTTCAGAATGTAAAAAAGCTGGTCAAAAAAAACCGCAAAAACACGGTGTCGCCTTTTGTTGTAGCAAGTCCAGACTATACCCTACGGCTTCTAAAAATTAGTAATATTTTTGGTACCGGCCTGTTAGCGGGGGGGGTGGATTTTTAGCAGGGGCCGCACAAGACTACTAGGAAAAAATTTCCTTTCCCCGTACTAAAACCCCCCGCCCCCGCTAAGAGTCAAGTACCAATTTTTATGCCTTTTCCACAAATCCCGGAAAACACGTTTATTCATTCATTAAAACAACAGTACATACAAGGGGGAACATCGTAGAGTTCAAGCCTACAAAACCTTTGGATCTGCACAAGATATTAATATTTGTGGGTCATGGGAAGGGAACCACAATTATAAATCAGACGAAAAATATAAATTCAAAAAATGGCAAAAACACGTTGGATGAAGAGAGGGAGACAAATAGAGAAAATGAGAGACTGGACAAAATGATATCACATTTGTGAAGCCGTGTGAATAGCTGCATGGATGTAGCTAGTTTTTAAAAGATTTAAAATCTTTTTAAATACATCAAAACCGGTGTGGGAATTTTTGAATCTGGCTTTCGGATGGGGGTTTGAAAGGGGGATCAATTGATTTGCCATTAAAATTAAGAAAGGACGCAAATAATATGGCCAAAATCGTAAATTCGCTTAAGGTATCGAGAAACCTTCAAGCAATTATTAAAAAAAGCTAAAAATGATTGTTGATAAGTTTAGAATCGAGGGGACGTTGCGAATTTTCGAAGCAAGCAATTTGGACATTCGTACTTTCCAAAATTTTCAAAGGAATATTATGGCACGAGCTTACAATACAACCAGTTTCTCACTGGCTATTTCTTGAACGTGGAAAGTCGCAGCCGTTTCGAACGTCGCAAACCGGATGAAGCGTCCGTGTCGGTGTGCGGAGGCTCAGAAGAGATGCGCTTGATCCGGCGGGCTGGCTGAGGCAGCAGCTTGGGTCGACTTTTTGCCGCTAGGGCCAGTTTTCGAGCTACGTCGGCGGCACGGCCGTGGTCATCTTGGCAGTCTTCCACGATGCACATCCTGAAAATGTTAGTTTAAATTGTTAATAGTTAAAATAAGGCAGTGTTTCTTTAAAAACCCTCTTGTTGCTTTCTCATTATCGTTGGGGTAAACCTTTTGACCAAAAAAACCTATAAGCAATTTTAGAATTAGTAGAATCACAGTATTTCGATTTCCTCTATTTATAAACATAAAAATTCACCTTTTCCGCAATAAACCTTACGAATATATAAATTTCGAACTCAAGATCAATTTTGAAAGAGTTTGGTAAATTTCAAATTTTTCCACGCTTTACGGATGGCATTTCCAATGAAATATAGCTGAGTTTTGCCATAAAATTACGATACCGTATGCTTTTTTGGTAAGAAAGGTATTTTTTTAGAAATATGGTAAAAAAACTTTCGTTTCCTGCCTAAAACGACCATTTTGGGCAGGAAACGAAAGCACTACAATTTTTAAACTCAAGAAACTTACATCTCTTCATCACCCGAATCGTCAGTCTCGCCGATGTTGACTTCGCCACTCTCATCTTCATCTTCTTCATCCTCGCCTTCATCTTCCGATATCTTAAAGTGTAAAATAAATTAATTAACAAGTATCTAGATACCACTCTCAACGATTTGTCGTCATACTTTGCGGTGATCGCCCCGGGGAGCGGCTGTTTCACCGCGCTGGTACGGCCGATGTAGATTACCTAAAAAATGAAGAGGTCCTCCAAAAAAATACGCACAATCACCTGTATCCGCCCGCCGTCAGTTAGCCCAACGGCAAGACGCGTTCTTTCCAACTCGGTCAAAAGGTCGTATGCACAGTTGAGCAGCGTGAGGCTGATCGGACGCAATTTCTAAAAAAATTGAAAAATTTGAGTAGGCACTTTCAGCTAGTTTCCAACAGCAAACAAGCATTAATGTTTACCCTGAACGCCCTCAGAATATTGTTGAGGTCATCCTTCTCGAAGGTGATGTTCAGCACCTCGATGTGTTTGACCTTCCACGGCCGCAGGTAGCCGATCCCGTTGAACAGGCTGAAGAGGTTCCGGAATATGACCTAAAACAGCGATTCTCAACGCGTTAAAAAACATTATACCGTAAATGGATGCATATCGACCGAGGGCAGCCAGAATTGCAGGTGGAACTTTTCCTTGTTGACCATCATAATCGAGAGCTTGTCGGGAACGAGGCCTATTTTGACGAGTTGAGGAAGGCCTAAAAACTCATAATTTTAGTATGAAACTAAACGTAAAAAACCTTTTATAAACAGTTTTCCTTGCGAGTTGACGATGATCGAGTCGAGGCAGAGGGAGCGCAGCGATCGGATGCCCATCGTGACGCTGCCATCTAAAATAAAGTATATAAATGTGCAATTTTCTTCACAAAGCATTCATTAACTACAAAAAGACGAACTACAAAGCTTTAAAGCCTTTACAAAGGACCAAGGGCAAAACAAAACCTATCTTCTTTTCAGAAAACCTAACTCACAAATCAAATAAAACATACTCGGATGCTTGATAATGTTCGGGATTCGATAGTCCCGTCGTGGGGCCATCGTTTGCACCTGAAAATACAGTTATGAATTGTTAAAAAGCAAATTAGGAGCCTGTAAATGAAAAATATCCTAAAACAAAAGCTTTGGAAAACATGTTATTAGTTAGAAAAGCGTTTCTCAGTAATAATTGACGAAAAATATATTGAAATCTCTATTCGTAAACCAAACAACCGCTCTCGCCGCGGGCATCTGTCATAATATCGAATGACGCCATGGAAAGGACCGGTGTACAAAGAAGCGCATCGGACGTAGTCGAGGCCGCCACAGTACTAATTACAATCTATCAAGCGCCAAATATGACAAAAACGCTGTAATAAAGCTTGGCAAATTGTGTCTAAATAGTTTAGAGGAATAATTCGATGTATGGAAGTCTCTGGGTCAAAGAAGCGCATGGACGCAGGTCAAAATACCACATAACTATAGAAAATTTGATAAAGCGTCGGTAAAACGTGACTTCAGTTTTGTCAGCCCTCTGAATCTCTATCCTCTATACAAGTTTTAAATTATTAGATAAAGAGAGTAAGATAAAAACTCGTTTTTTTTTCTGCTTTCTGAAGTTGTGCATTCAGTTAGAAAATCGTATTTTAGCAGTTAGTTTATCAGTAGTACTAATTTAGTTTATTTGTGGGTCCCGAGTGGGTAGTGTGGGATAAACGGTGTTTGCTCCGATGCACACAAACGGCAGTATCATGTTATAGTTGGGGGTAGTCCATTGCCCCGTCGTCATATTCATCACCAGATTTCCAGGTTGGGTGCCTAAACTGCTCGATTGGTCTTTTTCGAATCCTTTCAAAAGGGTCTTTTTCTTGAAGCATTAACGAGTATTGTCTCGTACCTGGTTGTAAATTCCTATACACGGACACCTTGGTATCAAACCAAGCGATGCGCCTCCCATCGTAGTTGCCGCCAAGCCAGAAAAGTGCTGCTGTCTGGAAAGGGTTTCTTTAAAAAATGTCCAAAATTCATATTTTCGAAATTCATAATGTCGAAATTTCAGAATGACAAGGCTCCAAATGTCGAAATTTCATAATGTCGAAAATGCTTAATGTCGAAAGATCATAATATCAAAATTCTGAAAGTGGAAATTTACATAAACTAACTTTCCCGGAAAAACCCGAATCTTAGGCAAAAAAATGCTGACATTCTGAATTTCGACATTATCAATTTTTTAGCTTTATAATTTTGACATTATGATTTTGGACATAATAGCAAATCGTTTAAAATGGCAAGTCAAAAATGCTCATTCTTCTTACTCCAAATTGCGCCCTGCCCAGCTCCAGCACTTTTTGGTTGTCGGCCTCATTGGTAATCGAGGCTATATGAGCGTAGAGACTAAAAATGGTGAAAGTAAGCAAAAAAATGTTTTTACTTGTTACAAAAGCACTCTGCCTCCCGGGAATTTTTGAGGACATCGAAGCCAAAGTAGCATTTTTCATTGCCGGAGGCTTCTACGGCGAATTTTGGACAAAACCCTGTGGAACGGTCTGGAAAAGACACAAGATTTGGTAAACTGAAATGAGCTTACCTATTAACAAAACGAATACAACAAGGCTACCGTAAACCCAGGAGATCATAATGGAAATCTGATATGATTAAGCCCCCACTGTTTCACCTTTTATAAGCCATATTCTCGTTGTTTTCCTCGCCGTTTTTCGGACTATTCCGGGTCGTCGGCACTGATAAGGCGGTCAGTAGGCGGATGATACATCACTGCCTAGACAAAGGATTTTGAGCTTTCATTTCCTGCTGTTGTTAAGGCGGAAGCCGAAAAAATTTTTTTTTTGACCCTGACTGAATTGAGTCATCTGTTCCAGTGTTTTGAATCTCGATTTCCGCTCCCTAAAATAATTTTTTAACGCTTCTAACGGGATTGATGCGATGGTATTTGATGGCGGAAACCGGGCCGAAGGGGCGGAATTGTTAAGATGGTTCTTGTTAGATAATTTTGGTCGAAACCGGAAGCGTTGGAAACCAGCGACTCGTTTTTATCTGGATAAGCTACTTTTTAAACCCGATTCTTTTAGTAAACGGTCATTGGTGCGGCTTCACACTCGCGCTGCGACTCGCAAGAACTAGTAAATTTGTATTTTTCACTTTATTGAAATTAGCGCCCCGGAACCAAGTAAGTAAAACAGGCTTTAGCATTTTAAACTTCGACCAGGGTTGAAAAGCCGCTTCGCGACTTTTCAACCCTGGCCCCGTCTTGGACCGCATGCTGTTCTACGCTTTCCATAATTGCGCTGAATTCAGATGACCAAAAACACGAAAATGATTCGCTTGTGACCCTTTATATAGTCGACTTCCTACTTCCGGTCAATGCTAATTTTTCCTAGCGAAGAGGGTTTTACAAAAACTTAAATTTAATATCGAAAATGGCTGATTTTTATAAATCTGATATGTGGGCAGTCGTCCCTAGACCATTACGCACATAATGACGTATCGTACCCACCCCTAGCTTCTTCCCCTATAGAGATACGCCTGGAACAACGCTACGGAAGTGGATGCAAAGTGGCACACACACACACATACACTATTTTTTTATACATAGTAGGATTTTATCCAAATTCCGAAAACTCGATCCGAGAGAGAAGGGCATTTTATGCACGGACAGGCCCTCAAGTCGGAAAAAACGTTACCAGGAATCATTGGATTTTTTAAGATTTCTGAAGCGGGGAACTACTTGCCAGGAATGATAGACGTTTTACAATAAGTTTTTTTTACGCTTGGTGATACCGGATTAAATGGTGATCCTTGATGGGCCGATAAACCCGTCAAGTTAACGACGGAACTGTGTTGCCTGATGGAATCATTCGATTTTCTCCTGATTTATGGAAACCGGAAGTGTTGAAAAATAGGAATTCATGCTTTATTCAGCGAAAAAAATTTAAAGCTGGCTCTTCTTTTTGCAAACCGCGTTATGCGCTTTTGCGTCTGAGACATCATCCCATTTGTTGAGGTATCGGGGATTTATATAGACATCTTCGTTGTTTTGCGTGTAAATCTGAAAACTTTGGCGTAAGTCTAGGGTCAAAGATAGTTAAAATGATGAAATATAACCAGTTCATAATTTAAAAATACTTTCGAAGGTACCTGAACAAATTCCTGCCCCTGCCAATTGTCGGGTTGTGTCTCCGACCAGTTGGTATAGTCAAACGTGGTACCATCCCACCAGAAGAAGTCGGATTGTTGGGCTCCATTCTGAAAGTATTCGGGCTTTGAATCTATCACCCGTTCTCTCTCTCTCTCTCTCTCTCTCTCTCTCTCTCTCTTTTACCCTCATCGCTCCCAGCCAGGTCCTTGCCACCGACACGTTCTTATATTCCGGGAAATCGAAGTAAGTGAAGGCCAATTCTAAATTCGGTTTTAATTTTATGCAATTCCCTCGATATCTTTACCTAGTACAAGCTGATCCTCCTCCGCAGAATGTATCGAAACAAGGTCGGCTCCAACAGCCAAGCATTGTTTCCTGGCTTCAAAGAAGGTGCTTTCGGTTGTCATTAGCTAAAACGATCCTACGGTAGTTAATCATCACTTTTATCATACTCTTACTATCAGTTACTATCAGTTAGGTAGCTGACTGACTTACCTTATAGCAAGATTCGGTCATTTTCAGATATGTCCATCCAGCTTCACATGGTGTCGACGTTGTTCTTGGGAGAAGTTGGGTCAAACTGGAGCTTCCTGTGGTACCGGTAGTACCAGTCGGTTTGGAACCAGGCCTGGGTCAGGGCCGGCCCCGGGCCGGCCCGGGCCGGCCCGCGACCCAGGGTAAACGCCCCCAAGGCCGAAAAGAGTGGGTGGAGAGGAGAGGGGCAGACAGGGAGCAGACAGACAGGGCGGGCCCAGGCCGGCCCTGACCCAGGCCTGTTTGGAACTAGTAGCAGAGGTACTCGTTTTTTGAGTCGTTGTTTTCTTGGTCTTTCCCCCTGTCCACCATTTATTCGGGTTCGGCTTCTTGGTGTTCTTAACTTTCTTTGGAGTTGGGACTGTCGGCGGGGTAGCGGGTTTTTGGAAAGCTGTCGTCTTTTTGGTCTTTCCTCCTGTCCACCACCTGTTCAGATTGGGCTTTTTGGTGCCCTTTTTAAGCTTCGGGGTCGGGATTGGTGTAGCCGGGATGAAATTCATGGCGTTATCATCGTGATATCCGCTGCACAAAAAGGGTAGCGTGGCGTTGAAATCAGTCGTTCTTCCGGTAGTCCATTGGCCTGACGCCAGATTCATCACCAGATTGCCGGGCCCAGTACCTAAATTTTCATTACATGGAGGTGTTATATAATATATTATATTTTACTATATACTATATCTTTTACCCAATTCAAAATTCGTATAGGTCGAGGTCGTCTCATCTAACCACGTCACCCGTTTTCCATCGTACATCCCGCCAATCCAGATCATTTCTTGATCCTAGGGCCTCAAGGAGGGTAACTTTACGTACTTGGAGCTACCGGAAATTGGTATCTAGCGTAGTCGCGGATTCTCGTGTTTTCGGCAGCATTGTTGATGGAGGCTAGATGACCATACAAGCTTGAAAATCCATTTAACCTCAAAAAACTTAACTTACTTGAAGCAAAAGTATTCGGCTTGCCCGAAAGTCGTCGAGACATTGAAGCCGAAGTAGCATTTCGTGGCCGCAGTGGCTTGGAGGTAAGATCGTGGGCAAAAAGCGGAAGTGACCGCTAAAAATGAGAGCTTATGGTTAATTTTTAAAAATATACATTTTTCGGGTTTAGAGAAGTGACATAACTTACCCAAAAACCCCAGTATCGCCAAGATACCGAGGTAACGCATTGTTTACAGTTTCAAGTCTAGGAACAATACAGTGAACGGATCTTTTTGCGAGTTTTATGTGGATGATCTGTGCTGCGCTCTTTATTGGTGTTACCCACGAGGCTAATCCGGGATCGAGAGTTCAAAAGCTCGATTTTGTTCCGCGCCGATTACTGTAAGTGCCCGATTATCCGGGCGCGCGCTGCTGCCAATTTGTGCTAAACGTGTGCACCGAGCCAGCGAGAATAGAAAATGTTCCCGACGGTAAGTACGAAATTTTTATAAGCATGATTTTGTTAGCGGGGAGAGCGTGATTCATCAGATTTGCGAAGTGTAAGGGACGCAAGATTTGACCATGAGCTTTGTTGGTCATCGAAAAATTTTCGATTTAGCGCAGTTGTCAAGTAGCTGTTTCGGAACATCCATCCAAAACCCGAAAGTGCCACCAAGATTCTGAAAATTGTTAATTTCCTGTTTTTTTTTGGGTTCCGCGTCTTCTTGAGCTCCGCAAGATTATTTTTGATTCGGAGTTGGAGCCTGGCCACGCCCCTTTCTAAAAACCGGATGGAAGTGTGGTGACCTGGGGCGGCCAAATTTAATTTTCGGCGGGTTTGCGTTCGAAACATAACCCATTTCCGGTATTTTGGTCCGAAAAAGTTCGGTCTTTCTTAGTTTTGCATATAGCCCTTTAAGCGACTTGGACTTGTAGTTCGGGAGTATCAATATAAAGATTGCTGCTTCTAGACAACTCTAAACACGGATGAAGACGTCAAAGACGAAAAAACCTCACACCACGACAATATTACCCACTTCCACCACCACCACCGAGATTACCTCTGATTATTTCATCATCGACACTACCGAGATTAGTTCAAAAGATTATGCCACTGATATTCCGCATCCCTTCTATGGCGTTTATGGCGATATTTATCAAGCTATCACCTACGAGGATCTGGATCTGTATGTAGCATCCAAGTACGACCCCATGGTCTGCAAGAAGGGGCCCGGCGATCAACAATTTGGAGACCCGTCTCAGCTGGCCGATTACAAATGGGATGGCACCCCGTTTCACACCTACCACCACGCCGATGCAACGAATATTGCGATATCGATGTTTGTGGTATGTGGCATCTTGAGAAATGTATAGATAAGTTTTCACTAAAAGAATTCATATTAAAGCAAAATTGATAATCAATTAGTCAACCAAAAATCTTAGTATATCTTTCGAAGCTCTATCGAATGGCTTTTCAAAAATCCCGAAAAAATAAGCGAAATGACCGAAAACTTTGAGATCCTTTGGCTGGGGGGGTAGAGTAAACTTATACCCTCTTCTGTAATTTAGTAAGCCTTGTTAGAAGTATAAGCTAGGTGCAGACGCGGTTAGCGGGCACGGAAAGATTTTAGGAACAGGATCCTTAGTTTTAAACCCTTAACAATCGCGTGTCGTGCGCGTTGCTTGTACATCGCGCCGCGCGACCAACGCAGAAGTACGCAGTAGTTGTAGCGCTGCCTCACATTAATACAAAATCGAGTTTCATGTTTAGCTCGGCTTCATCGGGGCGGCCTTGGCGACAGTCTCGGGCTTATTGGTACTGAAAAATCCAAAAATCACGAGGATCGTTAGCATTGGAATGATCGCCGACGCGGGATGCCGGATTGTTAATTCCTTGGCGCGGTTTTACTATGGGAAATGCGTGTTTGAGTAAGTGTAGTCTACGTTATTAACAGTGTACAATACCCCACGATAGCTAAATGTGTATATTTCCGTGAAGTGTACCAGAAAGCTTGCCTTTTAGTTGGCAATGCCTAAAAAGCGATGGATACCCGTTATCGGGAATAATGTTCAATACCCTTATATCCACGTTAGATTATACTAGCTATCTGTCGATGAGCTTATTGCAGCACTGGGTTTCGGGGATACGGTTAGTAACTGACCGCTTCGAGTACCAAGCCAAAATTAGATTCTTTGCTGTCTACGACGGTGGTATACATTACAAGAAAGTTGAGAAATTGTCGAGATACTACATTGCTGTGCTATGTTTATTACTCTGGAGTTATTATATGTCGACTATCGGCAACAGTAGGTTTAATAAAGCTAAGCTCGCATGCCTGCCGCGATGGAAAAACAGGCGAAAAACCGTGATGTGACAGAATTTAAAAAAAGACACCAGGAAATCCCATTTCAATACTAACCTAGCTAAATCACTCGTTTTTAGTCTCCGATCCAAAGAACGGGTATCTATGCTACACGGGGTATCACTTTACTCCTGTGTACTACTGGCGAACATGCCGTTTTTACAAATCAGCTTTCTATAAAACGCTTTTCGACCTGGTTCCGGAGATTCTGATGGTACTACAGGCCATAACATTGGCGCTGGATATCATTGCCTTTATCACAACTTGGAGAAAGGTAGATTTTTGGTTAAAAGCCGATACCGCGAAATGTCACCCTTCAGCAGCGCGTTTTTCGCTTTTTAGATGGAGGCCTCGCCTACAAAAAATGAGGTAAACATGCGGTTTGCGACTATGGTAAGCTTGTATACTTTAATGAAAACGTTCGGTCTAGCTTGTGGCAACAAATTTGCTGATATTCGGCAAACAGTTGGTTGGCGCAGCAACGAAATCGGTGACGTACCAGCCAAGGTCTACCTACTTGGCGTATTCTGTGTATGAATTCATGCACGGTGCATTGATAAGGTATGCATTCAGAAGTTCAGCTTTTTAAAAGCTATCTTCCAGCTGCATCATCATTACTTTCAACATGTCATATATCGACGTGAAATCCAAAAAACTTCCCATCGGCAGCTCGCTATTACGAGGAGGCTCAAATAGAACGTAGTCGATTTTCCTGATTGCTTTTTTGTGCTGGAGCCCTTCAGCCGGCAATTTGGATTCGGAAGTAAATCATGAAACTGGTCGTAGTCTGTAATTACTTTCACAAAATCTCTCTGCCGTCAAGTGGCACTTATCTTTTCACGACACGGTGGGACTTGTTGTGTCCGAAATAATTACTACTTATGCGCTACGGAACGGGCAATTTCTTTTCCAGAGAACAGGAGAGAAATTTTAATTCTGAAGGGAGGCGATGGGGAGCCTGATAACTGGGCTAAGTCTGGACGGCAAAAATATAAATACATACCAAAAAAAACAAAATATAAATACCGAGAAGTACGGTATCCTACCGTTTTGGCTAGATGATTTTTGGATTAGAGACGTTACGCATACCGACTCGGCGTCGGGATCACATACAAATTAGGATACAAAGTACAAAATAAGCTAGATCAACAATTTTTTGCGCTTTTCTTCCTAATTTGCATGTGATCTGTCGGAATGCGTAAGATCTCTGCTTTGGATCACCTAAAGGGCCCGGCAAGGCACGCAACAAATTTTCTGGCAATAGAAGACCTATGTATGCACGAAAACGGCACACATAACGAGCGCGACCTTTCAACAATATACGAACCATAATCGGTTATGTTATCGAAAAACAAGCCTAGGCGCTGCTTGTCGCGAAAGCACTAAGAATCATTTTAATGTAATTCTTTGAATTAGAATTCATTTCCAACAACGTCACTTGTCGAGCAAAGCTGATTTTTCAAACTGCTCTAGTTGAAAACCGCAGAATGGAAATATATATTTATTCTTAATCACCAGCGCCGCTAGCATTTTCTCCCGCGGTCACCGTGACCATTCCACGGTTCTTCTCTTTCCGTCGATTTCCGCATGTAAGGCAATAACAGACGAACAGCATGCTAAATGTGTTATTAACGCATATTAATGAAGTGATACCCGGTGACGATGATGCTCGCGTGGTATCGGTAAGTTTTGGCAATATTCGCCGAAACGTTGTTACGCCCGAAGGTTAGCTGTTCTTGGGTGAGCCCAGCCAAGAATTCGTCAAAGAAATACGAGAGATTCGAGAAGCCCAGCTTAAGGAAATTAACAAAGAGTATAACTTCGTTACACCAACTCACCAGAATCATCAAAATCTGATTATGGGAGGCGACCAAGTTTCCTTTTTCTAGCATGCCCTAGAAAAACATATACGCGACGTGAAAAATTCATACCAGGTATTTCAGCCTCCAAAACGTTGTCAAGTTAAGGCCCAATGTGCCGGTTATAATTCCCAGAACAACAGTGCTCAGCTGCTCAAAAAGTTCGCGGGTGTAGGCGTTTTTGTAGAAGTTGATGGTGATGGCAAAGTTGGTTGGATCGTACCAAAAGCCTCCCCAGCAATGTGTACCCATATCGTTAACTAAATATAATTTAAATTAGCTCTTATCTCTCTCGCTCTATATCTGTCTTTCTCGCTCTCTCTCTCGCTTCTATAGCTCTTTCTTTCTCTCTCGCTTTCTCTGTCTCGATCTCTATTTCCATGTCTCTCTGACTCGCTGTCTCTAGCCCTGCCTCTCTCGCTCTCTCCCGCGCTAAGAATTAAACAATTCAAATCCAACCTACTTATTCCGATCATCAGCTCTGTGATGACGATTGGAATGACGCATACGATAATCATATACATAATCATTAAATACTTTGCCAATCGATAAACGTTGCCGCCAAAGAAAGCCAGAATAGCTCTAAACTTCAGATTTTCGAGGTACTCGATATACTAGGCTCTTACACACACTAAAGTAAGATCTATCTATCTCATTGACGTCTCTGTCTCGCTTACTCGCTCTCTCTTGTTCTCGCGCTCTGGCTCTCTCGATTTCCTCACCGATCAACCGTAAGGCCATGCAAGACCAAATGCATAGAATAATAAAGACTCATATCCAACGATGCTGTTATCGTATTCAGGCCCATGCCAGTGTAGAAGATCCCTTCTTGGTCAGACACACAGTGCCAGCTAAAGAAGCTTGTCTAGGTGTACATTGCTCTCTTTCTCTCTCGCTCTCTCTCCGTCTTTCTCTCTCCCCCTCTCTCTCGCTCTGTCTGACAAAACCGTACGTCAATATACAAGCAAAGTCATAAATCTTCGAAATCCCTGCGTAGAGTCGAAAAACGCATGCCAACCCAAAGGCGAGCGCAACATTTCCTCGTAGCGGACTTCTTTTCACGTAAAGGTATCCCGAGACCATGTTCATCGCAACGCCAACCAGCCCTGCCTGAAAAAACACAAAATATTAACATCAATGCGGGGACTACTCCAATTAAATTGAAACTTACCAGGAGACAATTCCCCGTAATGCGCGGATCGATTTGATCATCATAGCCCGCCTCGAATTCCGGCATTTGTTGGATTCTTACACGTTCCTCATCATCAATAGTGATATCTACATCACATTGCCTCCGTGCATCCACTGCCGATTCTCCGTCCTCTGATACGTAGTAGTAGCCAGAATATCCCGCATAGTCGTAAGGATACGATGGAGCCGAATAGTATTGAGAATCATCCGGAACTTGGCCGTATGAATTGCTATCTTCCGTTCCATAGTCCAATGGGGCATGAGTTGTTGTTAAGGTAGTTTCGGATGGAGTAAGCGTAGTCTTATGCGCTTTACGCAGTTCTGCCATACGTAGTAGAACCAAAACAAGGCACAATTTCAGCAGCGGGCACCTGGTGATCAAGTAAAACATATTTGTCGTGGATTCGGGATTTTTGGACACAAAGTGAGTACCGTAATCGGATTTTACCGTAGTCAGCCTTTATCTAGCGCATTGACCGGCACATTCACCTGACAACTTACCTGACAATTTCTGGGAGTTTGATTGCCATCTTAAAACCTCAGATTTGTAGCCGTTCCAGTGGTTACAACCTTCAATTACCGCATGCACCCCTTAGGCACTTGTGGCCTGGAATTAGCTATGAACCCGCCGAAAGCAATCAAGGACTACGAACAAGTTTCACGATACATTTTGCCCATGAAAAGTGGAATATAACGGAAATGAAAATGGATAAAACCAATTCTAAAAACTCTTGCTCTTGCTCGTTTCTTGATAAGAGCAAGAAGTAAACAAACTGTGCTTGGAGTTTATAGGCGTTTGAATTCCTATCTTAAGTTTGTATGTACGGTAGCGGTCGAAAAGATGTCCGCTCCGGAAATTGTTTGGTCTCCGGAAAGCACGGCCCAAATTTTGTGAAACTTCGCATCTAGGTTAATTTTGTTACGGAGAATCCGATGGCAGCATCGAATCGACTGAATAAATAATAGTTTTTATTATGCACCAAAAACACGAAATGAAAAAGAATAATTGGCAAATACGCAAATCGTACATTGCCAACGAGTGTGGGGCGGATGAAAGTGGTGGACAAAAAATGTGTCGAGCACGGACGAAAATATGGGAAGGCTTGGGAGATCAATGAGCGATGGTCGGACGGGTCAAAGATAGGGAAAAAAGTGGCTCTAGCGGCCGGAAGAAGTATCGTATCGGAATGATTTTTATACCAATCGAAAGTTCTTGAAAGCCGAACAAAAACACATTTTTTTGGTTTTATAAAATTATTCCAAAATTTGAATTTTTGCAGCTTTCTATGAGCGCGAAGCTCTGATAGCTGATACTTTTTCGGGCACCCTAAAATCCAAAAAAGTTAAATTTCCTAGATCAGGCCTTGAAAATGCGTTGTAAGGTACATTTTTGTAACAATAAAGAAAGAGGCAGGGGACAGAGAGGAGAAGAAAAATATCGTAAATTGATCACAGTTTGAGAATTGGAAAAGTAGAAATTTTTGGATTTCAGTAATTTTAGACATTTTAATCGTCGATTACCAAAACCCAAAAGATAACAATTAGATTACGCAAAAAACTGAAAGCACAACCACGAAACTGTGTAGCAGGGGAGCGATTTTACCCATATGAGTCGAAAAGGCCAGGAAAAAAGCTGGATTTTCGAATTATTCGATTCTTACTGGTTTTAAGGGATGGTAACAGAAAATCTAAAAATTCGAACACCCGAAAATTCCTGAAAAACTGTTAACACCCCTTTAAAATACGATTCAATATCCTGAAGGTATAAGTAGGGAGGGCAGGGCGAAGCGATCGATTGAGCCGGAGAGTTGAGTGATTTTCAAAGTGAGGCTGAACTAGGGCTGGGAGCAAAGTTTGGGCTGAGATATAGAGTACGGTAGCAGACTATCGTACGAAATAGGACATTAAGAGGATATTTAATATGCTATTATAACGCTTAAGTCGACTACACAACAGAACTAATGGCAGAGAGACGTGGTGCGGCTGCATAAGGTGGTCGCTCCATCGCATCTGTCAACCGCATCTCCGCGTAGTTGAGGCCCTCGTGGAAACTTGGTGATTTTGCGCGGTTCTGAAAATGGGAAATAAACAAAATTTGAAAATAAAACAACTAAACAAATAACAAATTACGGTTTTATGGGGTATTTGGATTTCTCGGCGTTTTTATTGGTAAAAATTGCGTCTTTGAAAGTTATAAAGCTGTAAAGACCGCCCAAAATTTGTTAAATTTCAGCGTAAAGAGTCGTTACATATCCTGAATTCTAAAGAACAGCTAAAATAAACATGAGAAAATAATTAAGCTTTTCCTGCGTCACTTTTGCTACCTGGTATGGTAAACTTGATACCTAGACTTAAGATTCTTAAAGAAAAACGTAATAAAACAGCTGAAAAATCATGGAAGATACTTTTAAAGTAATAGAGTTTATATCCGTAATCAAAAAAGCGATACCTAATCTTAATGCTACTCTCAAATTTAAAAAATACGATAGTTTTTACAAAAATCTCGCTCTCCTTAATATTCTTCACCAGGAAATCCCAAATCCCATCCTTTGCATGCACCCGAAAATAATAGTAAATCAATAAAGTTTGAAAAATTAGGATCACTCACATGTTAACGATATCTAGGGGTAGGAGAAGCCCGTTGATATAGGCGGTAGAGGTCGGCAGTAGGGTGGAGGGTACGGTAGTGAAGACAGGGTATAGAGGGGTAAGTCATGCAGCCAGGGTGGGGTACGGTAGTTTGTAGGGTACGGAAGTGTACAGACTACACAACGGCCTCCCGGGATAGATAGACACCGTATCCACTATCGGATACCTCGGCCGGGGAGGGGCGAATAGTCGCGGCTCGTCGAAGGTCCGGTCGATCGAGGGGTTTAGGCTAAAAATAAACGTCTTTCTCGAAGGGTTACTGTATGTAAAATCCCTGACGTTCTCTGCTAGCTTTCAAAAGGGGTAGAACTAGTGTGTAGAAGATTTTCTCGAATGATCCCTGCTAGCCTTCCGGCTAAATTTCGCGAATGATCGCTGCTAGCGTTCAGGTTTTATTTTTCTAGTGTTCTCTGCTAGCTTTCTTGTCGATTTCTTAACCCACCTTTGCTAGCCGCTCTTCTGGATTTTCTAAATAATTTCTGATAGCCGCAATTTTCATTTTCCAGAATGATCTGCGCGATATGATTACTTTTGGCTTACTTTGCAATCAATCACCGCTAGTTTCCTGCTCAAATTTTTAAGCGCTTTTTGCTAGCATGCTGTTCCATTCCCCCAAGAATTTCCGCTAGCCCGACGCTATTTTTTCCCAAATGTTCTATGCTAGTTTGCCCTGCTCACATTTCTGGAATCTAATTTAACTTCAAACTTACTTCTTCGGTTTCACCGGAGAGTAGTTATCCGAGTGGTGCTCGACGTCTTTACTCCCTGAAAAAGGGATTTAATGTGAGATCTAGGATATTGGCAGTTAAAGTACGTAAGATACCCCCTACGATCTTCATATACAGTTTATAATGCTCTAAAAACTTACTATTAAAGCAGAAGATCTGCTTCTTGACGCAAATGGCGATCAGGGCCGCGATGAGGACACACAGGGCGAGGAGTACGATGAAAGCGATCCACGCCGCGGAGAGTCTTCCGGAATGCGCCGTGTTTCCGCCGAGCAGCGACTCCAAATTGACGGGAATCCTAAAAAGGATAATTTAACTTAATTATGAAAATATTTCAAACTGGTAGCGCATTTCCGGAAAGTTAGAAAATTAATTTCCGGGGTTTTTAATCGACGGGCAACCCAGAAAAACATAGAAATACCAATGATTACAGCCACTTCATGACTGCAATCTGACTGGCCTTCCCAACTACCCTCCATGTTCTACGCCACCACAATTAAATCTACTTTCATCAGTACCCACACTGATCACCTCAAATACCTAAAGTTCGATAATCTTGCAAAAACTTAGATACCTAATCTCCACTTAGATACCTTCCTAAATTTTGGCTCAGATACCCCCATAGCCGAAGCCCCTTGAAACACTGCTCTAAAAATACCTTCCTGATGGCTAGATACCCCCATGGCTGAAATCCTTCAAAAACACCTAAATGCCTTCCGATGGCTAGATACCCCATAGCCGAAACCCCCGCCAAAAACTACCCCCTCTAAATACCTTCCTGATGGCTTCCAGATGGATACCCCCATGGCCCTGAAAATCCCTTTAAAAACTACCAAAATCCCTTACTGATGGCTTCAGATACCCCTATTGGCTTCTGAAATCCCTTTTAAAAACTACTAAATACCTTCTTTGATAGAAGCTAAGATACCCGCCATAGACGAAACCCCCTTAAACTACTTAGATTCCAATCCCGACACTTTAAATGATTTAAAAAAATATGAATTAACATAATTAAAACATGTTAAAAAGTAAAGTAACTCAAAAAAAGGAAGCATCTGGGCGCGGGGAAAGGACACACCAGGGCAGGCGAAGAGGGGCGTGGCCTTACTCAGGGAGAGGGGCCCCCGCTCGAATTTTATTAAGGCGCCACTTTCCAAAGCTAATTATTTTTTGATCTTTTGGCTTTCATAATGTTTTGATCATTTAAGGGTTTCCTTAACCACGCTCTATCGAATCAAAAGAAGAGCTAAGCTCTGGCCTTCGCTTTCCCCTTCCGAGTTATAGTTGGCTTCAGACCAGACTGACGGACACCACAACAAATTATTATAACGAATTGTTAACATAATTAAAACATATTAAAAAGTATTAAAGTAACTCAAAAAAAAAAAAAGGCATCTGGGCGCAGGAAAGGGGCCTGGGAACAGGGGCGAAGAGAGGGGCGTGGCCTCCCCGGGAGAGGGCCCACTCTCGTTGTTAAGGCGCCACTTTCAAAGTAATTATTTTGATCTTTTGAAAATTTTTTTCTAATGTTTTGATGATTTTATTTGGTTTCAACCCCACGCTCTATCCGAATCCGAAGAGAGCTAGCTCTGGCTCTTTCCCCCTTCGAGTTATAGTTGGCTTCAGACAGACTGACGGACACCACAGCAAAATTATTATAGTTGATAGAAATTAGGAGTTTTACATAGCACTAATTTTTTTGAAAAATCGGAGGTTGTAATTTGTAGTTTTTAGCAGAGAGTAGATTATTTTTTTAAACTACAACTACAAACTACAACTAATCCGATCGATTTCAGCTATGTGTCACCCATTGTATATGGAAAAATCGATGCATTTTAGCATTCCCATCGTGCTTTGGAAACGTTATATATTAAAGGTATCATTTCAAACGAATAAAAGTTATAGAAATAGGGGAGAAGCTCGCCATGCCAAGCAAAAAAATTCACAAATCAAAAAAGGGAAAAGATGCGTCGAAGCCACTCACTTGAGCTCGGGTTTGCGCCTAAAACAATTTGGGGTTAGAGTTTAGCCAGGGATTTGCAACATAAAATCAAGTAGGAAAAGCGGAGGGTATTTTGATGACGCGTGGAAGAATATTTATAAAATTTCCAATTTAAAAAACCTGAATTTCGCGCCAAAACTCGAAAACGCGCTACTTTGCCATCGAGCATAGAATTTCAGCATCCGAATTTGTAAGGTGCGTAAAGTCTTGCTTGCGTTAATAGAAAAAAACGTACTGCCTTGCTCCCTTCATATTCTGCACTTTCAGGTTGATCTGTCGGTATTGGTCGGTTTCCGAAACACGGCTAATGCCAAGGCGGGCAAAGTAACAGTTCGGAACCGTCGAATTTTGCTGGAATCCCTCGAAGCGGAAGTTTTCGAAGGTGTCGCCGGGCTGAAAAAATGTATATAAGCTCCGAAATCCAAAATATTAGACAGTTGTTGATGTCTTTTAAACTCAAATCTACCAGACTAAAGCGAACACAGACGATCACTTACCTTCAGGTCATTCTGATCAATCTGGAAGGTGATATCTCTCGGTGGTTGAGGTACGGGATCGGCACAGTAGTGGACGGTGACGATGGCGTTGTGGCTTCCAGGGGCCCTTAAAAGACGCTATAGCCTCCAGTTTTTACAGGAACATAGGCTGGCTAGCAAGGATCTTTGAGGAAATATTTGATCGAAACCAGATTTTTTTATTTATGCCAGCTTAAGGAAATTTTGTTAATGGTGAATTTCCGATGGGTTTTCTTTCCATGTCGCGACCGCGATCCAGTACGCGCGTAATCACACGTAATCGGTTACGCAGTGGAAGGGCACGGTTTCGACGTTGCGTGGCGCCGTAAACCCAGTTTCATGAAGAATTCACAGTCGAGCAAAACCCGTAGCACCAGTTTCTCTTTCCTGGCTACTAGCTTAGAATTCGAGGTTGTAATCCGTTACGCAATGAAAAGAAGTTTGTGAGTTGCGTTTTCGGGATCTAGGAAAGGTTATGAAAGCCTTTTCAGCCGGATATTTCCTGAAGGATCCCTGCTAGTTTGCCCCAACCGGACGGTAAATTTGAAACCACTGGAAAGTATACCTAAAAAGACCATCTCTTATTTTAATGCCAAGAATTCAATAACAAAATAATTTCGATCGATTTTACCTGTTCAATAGTAGGTCCCTGATCCGAGGCCATAGGTGGGCCCTGGACTTGGAGGTCGAAGGTGGAAGTGCCGGGCGTGTCCATGGCCGGGGAGCATTCTGGGGCTCCCTGGGAGACGTACGAGCAGGCTGAGCACCAGTACTGGCCGGCAAAGGAGTAGTTGGACACACGGAGGTTGCACACCGAGTTCAGGCGCTGAAAAATTAAGGTTAGTCAGGTATTAAACGATTCAGTTACTCAATTAAGCAATACATTCTGGGCGATTTTTGGGGTGGAAATTTGGCAACATATAAACTTTTTGCGGTTTTGCCTACGAAAGTTTTGAAAATGGTTTAATAAATTGACAAATTTGAAATAAAGTGTACCACAATTTTTTGCATATCAAAAATGCTCCCTAGCGTAATAGTGGCTATTTTAAAGAATTTTGTTTACAAAATTTAGCAATATTTCGAGCGGGAAACTATTTAAAACACCTACGAAAAATTTCCAAAATTGGAACAATCGATAATTTTGCATTTTTTGATAAAAATTTTATGTTTTTTTTTGCCCTGGAATAGTAAAAAATAATTAAGATCCACTCCTTTTTTAGAAAAATGGATTAAGAAAAAGTTTGTTTCTCCCTGATACACCCCCTGATAATGCAAAAGAACCCAATTTTTCACATTGTAAAATTATCCAAAATGTGTTGTTGTCTTCTTCACGTTAAACGCAGAACCCTAATTTTAATATACCAAAATGGTCTTTGATTTCCACAATTTCCACCCTAAAAACCACCACCCATCGACAATTTACAGAAAAATGAAATCCATTTGTTAGTAGAAAGAAGACAGAACCGAAATTCACGGCGCGGTACGTTTTCACTGATTATCACGGGCAGGCAGGCAATAGAAAGAAAATTTAAAAATAGACAACACAATTTGGGATACAGTACGACTATACAGTAGCCTTTCCGCACTTACATTGTAAGAGGGCTTGATCTGGAAACGATTATACTTTAGAAATGATGGAAAAAAGCTTACAACATTGTTGGTCGGCGCCATCATGACTCCGGGTTGATTTTGCGCGGTAACTTCTTGGTATTGTCCCTCGAAGCCTTGAGGGCAAGCTGCGTCGACGATCTCGCCACTTGGCCTGCGGAGTCGCCAGAAGACGACCGGGCGGGGATTGCCTTCGACCTGGCATCCGAGGCTCATCTGAAATTCGGAAATTTAGATGCGCTTAAGCAAATTTTGTCCAGCTACGTAGATCCTATCCTGCTATATATGAAAAATAGTGTCTGTGTATGTGTTCCACTTTGCATGCAAGTAGTATCTCAATAAAGGGGGTAGTTAGGGGGTATACCTCATTAGGTGCGTAAGGCCCTTGGGATGACTGCACACTAATAGACTTTTCAAAAATTAGCGGTTTTCGACGTTAAAATCAAGTTGTTGTTGAAAAATCGAGAACCCTCTTTGCTAGGAAACAATTAGCATACGCCGGAGGTTGCGAAAGCCTATATAAGGGAAGATAGGTAGCGTTTCTCCTTTTTTTGTGAGCCAAAATCCCATTAATTAAGCAAAATGAAGAATATCATGGGAACAGATGGGTCCAGAGTTGAAAAGTCGCGAAGTTTTTAACACCAGCCATCTGACTACGATAGGAAATTAAAGGGATTGGCCAGGCAAGTCAATGGGTTTAGGGGGGATACTTTTTGTAATTTCCGTTCCCGCGTGTTTCTTTGACATTACTGCTTTTGACTTACACATACACATACACATCAGCCTTCCCAGTCCCTTTAAAGCCCGTAAAAACACTATTTGGGCTTCACTTACCGATTGGTCAATTTGCGCCCGCCCGCCGCTGAACTGGCTGGAGGACATCAGGTTCTGGAAGTTGTCGTTGTTCACTTTTGCAGCCGCTGAAACTAAGCGTAATTGGTGGCCATTACAAAGTAAATCTCTACTTAAAATAGGCTACAAAAATTAGCAAGAAAAATCCATGCCAAAACTTACAGTAAGGGTCAATCTGAACAGCCTGGCTGGCCGGCATCTCTCCATCCGAGAACAAGCCATTGTTAGCGGAACACTGAATAGATTGGCCAATCATCTCGGTTCCGATCGTGATTTCAGCGCCGTTTCCACTAAAAATCGAGAGGTGAACTTGTTGAACTTGACGATGATGATGATGATGATATGGTTCAGCTCGGCTCTATTATTTAGTAACT